TCTCCCTGGTGACGGTGCTGGTCAGCGCGTGCGGCGCGGCGGGGAACGGGGCCGTCATCTGGCTGCTGGGCTTCCGCGGGAAGAGGACCCCCTTCTCCGTCTACGTCCTCCACCTGGCCTGCGCCGACGCCGCCTTCCTCCTGAGCAGGAGCGTCCTGCTCACGCTGCTGCTCCTGCGTCTCCACGGACACGTGCTCTGCTGGCTCGTCGACCCGCTCGCCCTCTCCTCGTACCTGGCGGGGCTGGGCCTGCTCGTGGCCATCGGCGCCGAGCGCTGCGTCTCCGTGCTCTGGCCCCTCTGGCACCGGTGCCGCCGGCCCGCCCGCCTCTCCTCCGTGGTGTGCGGCCTCATCTGGGCGCTGTCCCTGTGTGGGGTGATAACATGGCTTTTGTGTGTGCACTTTGTGGGGTTGCCACGGCATAGCTTGCATTTCATCTACTACGTGGCGGTGGCCACCACCTTCCTGCTGCTGTGTGCGTCGGGCCTGACGCTGCTCCTCCGGGCCCGCTGCATCTCCTTGCGCAGACCGCCCACCCGGCTCTACGTGACCGTCCTGCTCAAGGTGCTGGCCTTCCTGCTGCTGGCGCTGCCCTACACTGTGGCCGCCACCGTGTATGTCCTCGCCCCGGCGCTGCCCTATCGGGGCACGCTGTTGCCCATCTTGCGCATCCTCTCAGTCCTGAACAGCCTGGTGAACCCCATCATTTACTTCTTTGTCGGGAGGCACGGGCAGCGGCCGGGCAGGGCCCCCCTCCGAGAGGTGCTCCAGCGGGCGCTGAGGGATGAGGAGGAGGGGCCTGGGCACAGGGGTTCCCCCGTCTCCACAGAAACCACGACGTCCACCTGAACTCAGGCAGGGATCTCGCTGGGCCCCCAGGCCCGACCTGTGGACACAACACCCCACAGGATGGCAGCCGTGCAGAGTCCACACACCCCCCTCCAGGGCTTCAGTTCCTCGGGAGAAAGGGACCCGGCGTCCGCGCCCCGGCTGGCCCCTGCCGCTGGGGTCTCGTGCTTAGTTGCGCCTGTTCCTTTGCTGCGTTTCTCTTCTTCCCCGGGGGGTGCGACGACCAGAGTTTCTTTGTCCTCTGACCCCGCGCACCCCGTCCGCCCCCTGGCAGCCGCGCGCTCCCCTGCAGCAGATTCAGGGAGACTCTGGGCGACTCCAGGTCAGAGGGGGCGGCCACCACATGGCTACCGCCTGCATCTGCTGACCACACCAGTGGGTGCATCCAGAACCTTCTGTCCACGGGGGAGGCTGGGCCCCGCCGAGCCCACTGACTGTTGCCGCACGACCGACTCTCCAGCCGGGACCAGCCCTGCGGGCACCACAGCAGTTGCTCTGCTCTGGACCGCTCAGGGGGTCCTGTTCCTCGAGCCTCGCCCCGGGCCGGCTGAGGCTGCTGCCACCTTCCCGGGTCAGCCCAGGGGCCCCTCACACAAGCTTTGAGGCGGTGGCCACCAGGAGCAGGTGTCCGGGGGTGACCAAGGCCGGAAGACCTGCCCCACAGAGGGTGCTACAAGTCTTCTTCCCGCCTGTCCCTCTGGGTTTCTTCCCAGACTTCGGGGGAAACTGGCTTCTCTCCACGTGACTCCAGCGTTTGCTGCCCATGGCCTGGGGCAGGACACAGACTTTGGCTGCGGGACATGAAGGTCATCACTGTGGCCCGGGTCAGCCCGGCCTTGGGGCCCGCGGGAGGGGAGAAGACCAGCCGGGAGCACAGGGGAGGACGAACCCACAGGCCGGTGTGGTGAGTGGGGGCGACAGGTGTCCCTGGTGGGGAGAGGAGGTGCTGCCAGGGGCCAGAGCGGGGGTGGTTCTCGGGACTCGGGTCCTGCGATCCTGCTCGCGGGCCGTGCGGGCCGTGTCCGGGCACGTCAGCGGGTGAGCCCGCACTGGGGAGGCCCCTTGGGGTCCAAGAGCGGTTCTGGGAGCTCCTGGGTGTCGCTGGCCGGGGCGTCTCGGGGGGAGCGGTGACACAGTGCGCGTGGCAACCTGGCACTTCTGAATGCGGATGACTTAGCAGAGCGCGGTCCTGCGGTTTCCTCACTTCACCCAACGTAAAATGAAACTTGGGGTTTTATGATTTTTATTTCCTCGGGAGATTCATGAGCTTAATTCACATATAAAGACACCAAAGAAAATCAGTGACGTGACCGTGCCCGTTGGGTGGCCAAACGCTGACCTTCCCGAATTCCACACCCACCTGCCCGCCCCACCCCCTCCCTCAACCACCGGAGCTGCCCTCTGCCCAGGCCCCGCCCAGCGGGACGCACCTGCGAGTCTCAGGTGAGCGCTGTGGAGGCCTCTCCTGCCAGCTGGTCCTGCTTGAAAGGTGGATGCAGAAGCCCACCTGGGGCAGGAATGCGGAAGCCCGGCCAGAAAATTCAGACAATGAACCTCCCCCTGCTCTACAAATCTTTTCTTGGTGCCCTACAAACTGATGGCGGGAGGGCAGAAAAGCCTGACATTTTTCCTTACCTTTCAGGGGTCTTGCAGGGTAAGGTAAAAAAGCATCAGGCTTCTCTGCCCTCCCGCCATTAGGATGGATGATGGATCCTGCGGTCCTGAACGCACGCCTGCTGGCGGCCCCTGGAGTGGGGTGTGGGCGTGCGTAAGTGGGGACACCTGGGCCAAGAGACTGGGCTTGTAAGGGCGGCGTCACGGGGCCGCCAGCAGAGAGAACCACGAGAGAAGCAGAGAGAACACGAGACACGGCTGGAGAGCCCAGACAGAGGGAAGACTTGCTGGGGGCTGGGAGGCCTGCCAGCCTCCTGGTCCCCCAGAACCCCTGCCTGCCGTGTGCCTGGCAAATCCCAATAAAAACCTGAAAAGCCACCGAGGGCTCCAGGTCTCCCTCCTCCTTTACCCCGTCTGCTCGGGTCATAGGGATCCTGCCCTGTACCATTCCTGCCGTTATATTTGGCGTAAGTCGGCAAGATGACCCGAAGCAGATGGGTATGGAGCCCTCCGAAGACCTCTGGAGGGACTGAGGAGTAGCAGACCGAGAGCCTGTGACAACGCTGGGGGCGTCATGGCAGCACAGGAGGTGGACAAGGTCCAGGAGCGGCGGGACGAGACCTCGCCTGGAGGAGACGCCTGAGAGGACCAGCCCACGACCCCTGGGGCAGCAGAATCGCTGGGGAGGAAAGGACCACAATTCGGAGCTTGCCAGTGTGGACAAAGGGAGAAGCCTATGGACTTGGGACTAATGCGCTTGGACTGACAATCCCACCAGAAGGCGGAGGAACCTTGGCGGGTTGTTACATTTTGGGGACCCTGAGGGTAGACGGTGTTGTTTAAAATCAAGGCATGGGGCCTCCCCACTGGCGCAGCGGTGGAGCGCTGGGCTGTGAAGCTGCCCGCGGCCTCTGCAGCGCCCGCTCGATCCCCGGCTGCCAGCGAGGGTCCCTCATGGCGCGCAGACCTCTCCTGCCGCCCGCTGCTCCCCTCAGCAGTGTCCTTCGGTCCTTCTGCCTGCTCTGCATCCCTCTCTGGCTCTGGTGAATCCTCTCACCCTCCCGCGCTTCTCACTGTACCCAGTGCGTGTAGAAATAAATAAATAAATCTTTAAAAAACATAAAATAAAATCAAGGCACGGCTGGTGGGCCTTGCTAGAAAAGCCCACTGTTGCCCGAGGGAGGAAGCCCTTGCCAAGGTCTTTGCAGCCAGGCAGAGGAAAAAGCCAACTTAGAAAGGCAAAAGCTGGTACGGAGATTTGGAAGCCCTGAGCGGCTGTTCAACAGCCCGAGTGAGCTCAAGAAGGCCGGTGAGTCTCTTCAAATCACCTGCGGGGGATGCCCTGCTCGTCGCTGAGTGAGGGGGAGGAGCTGAGGAGCCCGTCCTTGGGGGACGGGTGGGGAACGTGGCCTGGGGTGGAGCCCGAGCCGAAGAGGGGACCCAAGAGAGGCCGCGTGTGGAGCTTGTGGACGTCCACAGATCCCCGACCCATGTGCGTGTGCAGTGGGCGGGCCTGAGTGCAGGGGTCTGCGTGTCACGGTGGTGGCTGTGAAAGCCGAGTGTTGGGGCGACTGCAGACAGAAACCCTGAGGGTTGGCGATTACCCCAACAGTACGGAATCGTCAGTCCCAGAGCGAGTGCGTCCTGGGGGTGGATGTGGTGTGGCTTGTGGCCGAGACCACAGCCAGAGAAGGGCGGGAAGCCTGGCGGCTCCTGGCGTGTGACGGCCGATGCCTGAGTGGCTCCCCCCTCGCGTGAGCAGCGCCTTCGGCAGCAGAAGTGGTGGCTCATCCGCTGGTGCCAATAATCTTGTCTTTTGCCACTAGGTTGGTGCCCTGCCTGGGCTCATTTGTGTTTCGTGGTGTTTTGTTCTATTGTGATGTGTTTCATTTGCTTTTGTGGGCCATGGCCGCAGCGCTCTATTGCCAAGAGAAACAAATACGACTTGTACGTAGAGCATATGGGGTACCCCTAACCCCACGGCAGTGTCCGGGGTCCCAGCACCCCGCGGCACCGCAGCTGTGCTGCTGGAGAGTCGCGGTCGCCCTGTCACTTGCCCATTTGCCAACTTTCCCTTCTGTGCTGCCTCCAGCCCCGCGGCCGGCAGTGTCCTCCGCCCCCGCTGCCCCCCGCTGCTTTCTCAAGGGAAGGGGGCGCCGAGGAGGCAGCGGCTGTCATGGAGTGTCCTGCCCACCCTTTCCCGTGGCGGCTCATCTCCGGCTGGCAGGCGGGCCCAGGGGCAGCCAGGGCCTCCAGCCAGGTGCGTAGACCCTCGTGACGCTTCCTCCACATGGCCCAGCGGGCCCCTCTCACCCCAGGCCCCCAAGGGGACAGGAGAAGCCTCCTGGAGCGTCCCTCCCGCCCTTCGGAGCCCACTCCCTGGCACGGGGGGCAGAGCCCAGGAGGGGGCCGTGGGCGGCGGGCCCCAGGGTTCCGCGGGTCATGCAGGCAGAGCCGGGCTCGGGTGGAGCAGGGGGCCGGTGCCAGGGAGGCTCCAGGGAGGCGGGGCGGCCGCAAGGACAGGGCCAGGAGGCGGGTTTGGGGAGCTTGGACCCCACTTTATTCAGCCTCTCTGGAAGGAAGTGACCGGAGTGCCCGCTCCTGGGATGTGCACAGACTGAGGAGCTCATGGGCAGGAGGAGGCCCCGCTCCACGGAGCCTACGCAGGGCCACTTCAGTCCACGCCATCCAGGGCCTGCTGCTCCGTCCCCTCAAGCTGGAGGACCTGCGGGGAGAAGGCGCGTGGAAGGTGTCAGGCAGCCCCAGGATCAGAAGAGGGTCACGGTCACAGGAGCTGCCATGGGCAGAGCAGGGCGCCCGAGGCCTGCTCCAAAGCCCGCCCAAGTGGGGCGTCCCCTCTGAAGGCCGGGTGAGAGCAGAGCTCCCCAGACACAGACCCACAGGTCACTGGGAGTCGCTGCCCCCCACTCCCTGGTCTCCTGCGCCGCCCCCCACCTGGTCGCCCGCGCGGCCCCTCACCTGGCGGTCTATGCAGCGGAACTGCCAGGGCCAGCGCGTGGGGTACAGGAAGGGCCGCAGGTCGAACCTGTTGTCATCGGGGCTGTAGTGCTCGGCGTGGTAGGCGGGCGTGAGCGTGGTCATCTTGTGTCTGTTCGCGGCGTACATGGAGAAGAACCGCTTCACCTTGTCGGCCACCTGGGGGCGAGTCACAGGCAAGCGCCGTCCCCCCTGCGCTGGGGCCTCACGGGCCAGCGAGCTAAGGGCCCCCCTAGAGCTACTGAGGGCAGGAGAGGCTGAGGCTGGGCTGCCTGGGGGGCCCCCGACTCTATGTCCAAACACTGCCCGGCTGGGGGCCGGAGAGGGCCGTGGGCTGCTGGGCGCCGTGTGGGCCTCGGTTCCCACAAGCACGACAAGGGGCAGAAGAGCAGGGACGAGCTGGCCTCGGAGCTTCCATGCTGCCCCTGCAGGCTGACCGTCCCCACGCCCCCTCGGGACGCCAGTGTGGCTCCACTGGCCAGGGGGTGGCTGTAGGCACAGGCGTCCCTACCCGTCAGGGGCTCGGGTGCCCCCGGCCGGGGCGCGGTGGCCCTACCTGCCTCGGGGTGCAGGCGCCCCTCCACATGTTCAGGAGCTTGCAGAACATGCTGTAGGGCCCGGCCCGGGCCACCTTCCGCAGCCTCCCGTAGACGGACAGCTCCGCGTAGGTCATCCCCATGTCCTCCTGCGGGGCGCCGGGCGGGTCAGGCCATCAGCCTCGCTGCCGGGGAGGCGTCTTTTGGGAACTGGAACTGAGCCCAGGGCGGGGGGCCTTCCCGGGGGAAGGGCCAGATGCTGGCTTCCCCAGCTGACTGGGCTGTGAGCAGGGCGCTCGCCTGCGCGGCCCAGTGCTTGCTTGCGGGGGCTAAGGGGGCTGCACTGCGGCCCCATAAAGATGGGTCCAGGTCAGAAGCCCCCAAACCTAGAAACTGTGACTGTGTGTGGAAAGGGTCTTTGTGGTGCAAGTAAGTCACGGCTCTCGAGGCGAGATGGCCTGGACGTGGGGTGTCATGAGAAGGGGGAGGAGTCACGGGGCGAGGGCTGGGAGGACGGGGCCAGCGGGGCCCAGAAGCTGGGAGAGCAGAAAGGCCCCCCGGCTTCTGGGGTCACAGGCCCTGAGACCCGGGTGCTGGACTCAGGCCTGCAGGCCCAGACACTGATAAGGGGCCATCCCACGCCAGCCCAGTGGCCACTAAAGCGGGGCCCACAGCCCAGGGCAGCACCAGCCGGCCGGAGGGACGAGGCCCACGCCCACACGCAGCTCCCCCGCGGCACCTCCATGCCTCCCACTCCAGGCCCAGCCTGCAGGAGGCCCCCATGGGAGTGTCCAGGCCACACTGGTGGCCCCGATGGCGCACGCGCCCCCAGGACGAGGAGGCCCCGAAGGCCCCGCAGACTCATGGGGCAGGGAGAGGGAGAAGCGGCCGACGTGCGCCATTACCTCGTCCGTCTGGGACACCTGTCCGCCGACCAGGGGCTCCAGCTCCGCGGTGGCCGGCGCCGCCAGGATTCTGCGGTCCAGACATACAGAGGTCAGCGCCCGGCGGCCAGAGCAGAGCATGCGGGCCTCGGGGAGAAAGGCCCAGCCCCAGCACAGGCCGGCTTGCCAGGCCACTGGGGCAAAGCCAGGGTGGGCAGCACCGGCCGGAGCAGCGTGGACACCAGCGTGGCTCGAGACCCGGGGCGGAGGCAGCCGCCGGGAGCCGCACAGGTTGGGGTGGGTCATGCACTGCTGAGGGGCCGTCCCGGGCACTGCGAGCTGCTGAGAGCACCCCAGCTTCCACCCACTAGGGCCAGGGCCACACACCCCATCAGGAGGACCAAAAGCAGCTGCAGAGCTTGCCCACTGTCCTCGGGGGGGACACTGACCAGCGAGAAGGGGGTCCAGTGGACGTGCCAATGGAAAGGGGGGGCTTTCAGCAGGTGGCGGGAGCTAGGGAAGGTGGGGAGGGGCCCAGGCTCAGCTGGGGGCTTCCTGGCTGCGCAGGGACCCAGCTGTAGGTGCGGCCCTCCCCCGTGCGGCGCTCTCTCCTGTGTGGGGCGGGGAGCCCCAGCTCTCACCTGTGCAAGGCGGGGAGCCCGAAGCGCTCGGTGCAGAACCGGATGAAGGCCCGCAGGTCCGTCTTGCTGATGCCGCCTATGGGGTTGATGTCGGCGCTGGAGCAGTCGTACTTGGTCAGGTAGCCGAGGAGGCTGAGGGAGGGAGAGGGCGCGTGTGGCCTCCGCAACGTGGGGACCCACAGTGTGGGCCCTCGGCACCGGGACTTGCTCCCTCGGGGACAGGCGCCAGAAGGCTGGCAAATCCAGGGGTCCCGGAGCAGGCGGGGCTAGGCCGGGCAGCCGGGGAAGGGGCGAGGCCACAGAGGCCGCGGGAGAGCTGCTGGCCAGGGAGGGCCCTGGGCCGGGCCTCGGGCATGGACGTCAGCCTCCCGCCGCGGGCTAAGGCAGCAGGGCTGGCAGGCTGAGCAGCTGAGGGGGGCCCGCGGGGTGCGGCTGACGGAGGTGAGGCCACCTCCCCACGCCTGTCTCCTCCAGCCCTATGTGCCTCCTGCAGGGAGAAGAGCGGCCCCCAAAGACCCCGGTGTCCTTCCCTGAAACCGTGAGCACAAAACCTGAGAGAGGGGACCCTGCAGGCGTGATGGGGCTGCGGCCTGGAGAGGGGGGATGACCCCGGATTTCAGGGGAGCCCTGGATGCACAGGGGTCCCGGGAAGAGGAGGGGCGGAGGGGCCAGGGAGGGGGGCCGTGATGGCAGAGGAGGCTCCAGGGCTCCCGGCCCGGGTGGGGCCCTCGTGCCCTATTCTGCTCAGGGGCCGCGGGAACAGGGCTGCCTGCGCCAGCAGGGACGACGCCCTCCCCCGCCCCCCCTCGCCCGCCCGGGGCCGGGGCGGGGTGGGGGGGGGGAGGACCCTGGGGCGGCTGTGATGATGATGGAAACCCCAGGGGCAGGCAGACCCGCCCGCCCTAACCAAGGCTGCGGGGGCAGGGCTGCAAGCCTGCTTGCTCACGGAGCTGGCGGCCAGTGTGTGCTCCCCTCAAATGCTCGTGTCCAAGCCCCCAGGGATGGCATCTGCAGGAGGGGACCAGCCGGGGGCCCTGCGGCCAGCAGGCCACGTCCTCAGAGGCCGGGGAGGCCGGAGCCCCTGCCAGGCGCGCTCGCAGCGTGAGCCACGGCCGCCGAGGAAACGGAGCGACGGGTGAGGGCCACGCGGCCTCGGGCTGGCTTGGGGCGAAGTAGCCGGAGCCGCCCGCTTCCCGGCGTGAGAACGAGTTTCCGTCCACACTGGAGATGGACTGTCCGGCTGGGGGTGGAACTGGATCCGGAGAAGCGGCCGGCGCCGGACGGGGCGCGGTGTCCCGGGGCGTCTCGGGGACGCTGGGAAGCGGTGAGCCTCCGAGAAAGACACCCGCCTCCAGGGACCGGCAGCTCAGGCCCCGGGCGGCCTGCAGCGCCCCCACATACCTCTCGTCCACGTTGGCGGAGCCCAGCACCAGCAGCCCGCCGGGCGTGCCCCGAGACCAGAGGCTCAGCTGCGCGAAGAGGTAGGCGACCACCATCCTGATGCGGGCCTGGGCGACACGGGGGCGTCACCCTGTGCGGGCCAGGACAGGTCACGCCTGCCGGCCCCCCGCCCCCGCACGCCCAGGAGGCCAGGGCTGGAAAACAGGCGGGTTCCGCACGCAGGAGCATCCCAGTGCCCAGTGGGGAGGGCACAGCCTCCTGGGGCGGCCTCACGGCGGCCGGTCTCCGTACCCGGGAGCCCGGGGGCGCCCAGCAGCCGCCACGTCCGGACAGGAGCGGGGGCCCGAGAGCTGGGGGGCGGGACCGGCTGCAGGGGCAGCAGGGGATGCCTCAGTCGCCACTGCCGCGTCTCTGGAGCGGGAGCGGCCCTGCAGGAGGGCGAAGCGCGACAGGCCCGAGCAGCCCAGCCTGCCCCCAGCCCTCCCCGACGCGGGACCCCCGCTCACCCTCCCCTAAACACACACGACGCACACCCACCCCCGGTGCACTCGCGCCTCACTCACAATGCTCACACTCACTAGCGCAGGCCTCGCCCTCTCGCTCGCACACCTGCACCCTCACAGGCACACCCCTGCGCACGCGCACCCTCTTCCTCGCACGCGCCCTCTGGTGCCGGCACACGCACACTCTGGCCCCGGCCGTGTTGCAGGGCTGCGTGGTCACGGCCTCCATGAGGCACACAGGCTGCTGACACATTGCTGGGGGGGTCCCTGCACCCCCACGTGGCAGCGGCGGGTGGGGGCGGGCTCACACCTGCACGTTCTGCAGAGCCAGGTTCTCCCGGGTGCTTCCTCCGTGAGCCCCAAACATGGGGCTCTTGCCGGTCACCAGGTTGAAGATGCCCACAACGGCCTTCACGGCGGGCTCGATGCTGAGGCCGATGTGGTAGCTGGGGGGAGGGGGGCGGGTGTGAGCCCAGCAGAGCCCCCCAAGCACTGAGGAGCGGGCAGAGGGACAAACAGCACCCGGCCAGGGACCAGCGGCGCTCGGCCCTCTGCCCACTGTGGACCCCAGGCTGCTGCTGCCCCGCGGGCTTTGCGAATATCGCTGCTGGCACGCAGCCGAGCCACCGGACGCTCCCCCTCCGGGGGCCCGGGCAGGGTGGTCTCGCTGGGCTCCCCACCAGGGGCAGCGCCTCGCTCTCCGGAGGCAGAATAAGTGGGACATCAGGCGGAGCTGGGACCCCCTCCAGAGAGAAGCCGCCTCCCTCCGCAGGTGCAGGGGCCAGCTGGCAGGGAGGCACGGGGGTACGGGGGTCCACAGCCGCTCCCAGCTGGGAGTGGGCTCCGCGAACCCCACCCTGGGGGCCCACCTGTGGGAGTCTGGAGGGAAGGAGGCGTGGGCATTTGGGGTAGAACGGATGGTCTCCCTAAAACCTGGCTCAGAGGTACAGGCTGGAGATGACCCGGCCGGGAGCCCCCCTGGGCTCTGACCAGCACTGCCCGTCACCGCAGCCTGCTGCCTGGCGCCCGCGGCCACCTCTACCTTCCCATCTGCTGGGCCAGCTCCCTGGCCCTGTCGCTCGTCTCCTGCGAGGAGTTCTCGCTGGCCATGTAGCAGGTGGTCAGGAGGCGCCCACAAAGGTCTCGGGGGTCCTCAGGGGTGTAGCTCGCCTGGTTCACGATGGTCCGGACGTCGGTCAGCACCTCCTGATCTGAAACACAGGGGCATGGAGGGCGGTAGCCGCCTGCTGCATGTGGGGCTCTGGGGAGCTGCACCTGCCCCCAGAGCCGGCCAGCTGAGCACTGCCATCCCCAGTCACGTGTGGCCCAAGGGGAGGCTCAACACCGCGGCACCCATGGGGGCCTGGGTCCACCACCCCAAAGCCCGTGTTCTTTCTTCCCACTGGGCCATGCTGACCACACAGCACAGAGGCAGTGGGATGGGCACAGGCAGCTGGCCCAGCGCCCTGGGGAGGGGCTTTTAGGGCCTCGCTATTCCCAGTCCGAGATGTGGGTGTGACCGTGGGACGCCTGGGCAAAGCCTCCTGCTGCCCCGCAGCGCCTGGACTCCCTCCCTGCACCCTCCCGCCCCGGGCCCGGCCCTGGCACCGACGGATGTCACCTACTTCCGTTCCTCACCGCCTCGCAGACCTGGTGGCACATGGAGTAGACGAGGCAGGCGGTGGCCGCGCTGTCCACGCCGCCACTCAGGGGCAGGAAAAACCCCCCCTGAAACAGGCCGGCAGGCTCGGGTGAGAGCAGAGCCTCGGGGGAGCTCAGATCCAGGCCAAGTCAGCCCCCCAGACCTCAACGGAGAACCCACGAAAACGCTGCGGGCCCCAAGCCCTCCCTCGGGAGGTGACAGGCACCCTCACGTCCAGGGAGGGTTCTCGAGGCAGTGAGACCTTTCCCCGTGGACATGCGTGGGCGGACTCCCCCTGGGCGCGGCCGCGAGCGAGCGGAGGGGTCCCTCCACCCTGATGCGGGCACAGAGTCCCGCCGGGACTCCGAGGACGGGCCACACCCGGGGTGCCCCCCGCCGGCCGGCGCAGAACCGCTCCCGCAGAGGCGCAGTGGAGGGACGCACGCGTGGCTCGTGTGGAAACACAAAAGCACGGCCCCGCAGACCCGCCGCCAGCAGGAGGGGTGGGTGGGATGAGTGGGGATCCGGGACCCCTTACCTGTCGGCTGCGTCTCAGGAAATCCCAGAGCCAGCACGCGGGGCCAAGGCTGGGGACAAGGGGCGGCGTGAGGCGGAGCCGCTGACCTGCGCAGGAGCCACGGCGGACGTGGGTGCGCGGGGCTCTGCCCTCAGCTCGGCTCGCGAACTTGCACACGCCGGCTCTCGGCGCGGCAGGGGGGTGCTCTCGCCCGCGTGGGAAACCCGCCCACGGGAGAAGAGGGGGGCCCTGCACTGGGGCCCCTGAGCGGGGGGTGGGGGCCGGGGGGGCGCGCCAGGCTCGGGCCACGGGCTCAGCCTGACCAGACGCAGCCTCCTCCTGACCCAGTGCTGCCCGCGACGCCCTCCCCGCCCCGCCCCTCCCCACCCCGTTGTGCGCTGGCCAGCGGGCGGGGCCCACAGGAGCAGCAGGACAGCCCCCGCGCCCAGACCTGCCCACCTGATCTCCTCGCCCAGACTGTGGTACGTCCACTTGACGGGCTCAGAGAGCGGGGCCAGCAGGTCGTCGTCGAGCGAGAGGGCGAAGTCCACCTTCACCCGGGGGTAGGGGCTCACCCGGCTGGCCTGCTCCGTGGAGAAGGCGGGAACTAGGCGGCACCCCTCAGGGCCGGACCCCGCGGCCGGGAAGGGAGTACTGGGCCTGCCGCTGGGCAATCGGGACAGGCAGCCGCGGGGAGGCGCCGCACACCCAGGGGGCGCGGGGCGGTGGCCGGGGGTCCTCAGCGAGCTAGGGCAGAGCCGGCAGGGGCTCGCAGGAGGTGAGCAGCGTCCACTGCAACCTGGGCAGGGCTCCCGGCGGCTCAGGCACCAGGGGCAGAAAGCGGGACTGTGCCCGAGTGTGCCACCCGCCGGGCCCAGAGGCCTCGCTCCCGCCGCGGGCATCCCGCAGCCTGCTGACCCCACCCACGGGGCGGCGGACACGAGGCTAGGGCGCCCCCCACACAGCAGGGGTGCACGGCCGGAGGAGGCGAGTCCCCGGAGAGGGCAGGGTGGACACTGGGTCGAGCCGCGGTGGCACTGCGCGTCTCCTGAATACGCTGGAACCCTGACCCCTGCCCTCGGGGGGCACCGGGCAGTGCGGCTTCCGTCTCAGCTCAGCGCCACCGAGACCCCAGGCCGTGCGGGACTCACCGCCAGGTTCCGAGACGAGATCTCCGCCCGGTAGCTCCTGACGTCCTCCAGGTCCAGCGTGGCCGTGAGCACCTCCTGCACGCGAGCGCCGGGACCCCTGAGCCCTGTGTCCCCTCACACCTAATCAGCCTGTCACGCCACACGCGAGCCCCACCTGGGGGGGACCCTCTGTCCTCCAGGGCCCGTCGCCCCCCAGAGCTCCAGAGCGCCACCATCTGGGACCACCTGCCCCTTCCCGGCGGGCCCTGCTCATCCGCGTGACGCAGGCGCAACCATCACACCCCTGGGGCGCCCCCCCCTCCTCGCCCACGCCTGCCGCCGGGCCCGAGGGTGTCCTCCCGGGACGCACATGAGGGTGCCTGGGCCGAGCGCTGCGTAGCTGCAGCCCCGGGCGGGAGCCCCCCACAAGGCAGAGGAGACCCGAGAAGACCCGGGGAGGGGAGGATGAGAAATGGCTTCGGAGGAGGGCGGCAGGCAGGGCCGGCCGGGGCGGGGGGGGGGGGCACCTACCACGTCCTCCAGCGAGAACTGGGAGCCGCGGGCAAAGATGTGGCCGTTCATGGCCACCATGGCGCAGCCGTCGTAGTAGAGGCGGCCCCCGTCACAGCCCTTCTGGTTGGCCAGCAGGTAGATGCCACCGCTCTAGGGGCACAGGCCGGCGCTGCCCGTTGGCCCCGGGGTTGGTGGCTCCTCGGGCACAGCCCCATCCACAGGCTGACCGGCACCCGCACCCAGCACAGAAGGCGGGCACGGGAAGGGGCAGGGGGCAGGACCTGCGAGGCCCTCTGGGTGGGAGCACGGCAGCCCCCCGCCCCCCCAGCAGGTGCTGCCGTCCCTGCGCACCTTGGCGGTGGCCGTGGTTACCAGGTCCACCCTGGCATGGGCTTTGCGCAGGACGTGGTGGCTGCCTGAGGCGTTGGTGAAGATCTCCACGCCGTCCAGGCCCATGTCCACGTGCGGGCTGCGGCGAGAGGAGACCGCTGGCTCCCCCCTCCCAGCCCTGCAGGCTCCGGGATCACCAGGGCCCCGCTCAGCCTCCCCACCGGCCGTGTGAGACCCAGAGACCCGCTGCGATGGAGGGGGCCGGGCTGCAGTGGGGAGTGGTGCTGACCTGTGGGTGACACGTGGGGTGGGGGGGCAGGAGCTGCAGGGTGGGGGGCAGGAGCTGCAGGGTGGGGGGCAGGGGCAGCGGCAGCCAGGGCGCGAGTGGGGCTGACCTGTGGGGCGTCCAGAGCTCCTCGCAGATCTCGCTCCCAATGCAGGTGTCCTGGGTGGCCAGCACGGCGTCCCCAAAGGGCACAGTTTCCTGCGGTCAAAGACAAGGGGGCAAAGACCCCTCGACTGTCCAGTCTGAGCTATGTGCTGGCCAGGACCAGCGTCCCTAGGAGACTGGGGGAAGGTGACCACCTGGCCTCAGGCCCTCACCTGAGACACCCCAAGCCAGAGGCTCCCCAATGGCCAGCCTCCCTGGCGGACCCTCCGCAGCCTCGGCAACCCCCTCAGCCCCGCCAGCCACGCTCTGAACGTCCGCAAAGCTGCTGTGTCCGGTCTGCTGGGACTCTGCCTTGGGGTCCCTCGGCCTCATGGGCATCGGGGCGAGCGCCCTCACAGAACCAGGGACATGCCGGACGCACACCAGGGCCCCTGAGCAGAAACACCCACTCTGAGCCTCACAAAAGCCCAGGAGCCCGACATCAGCCCTTGGGGGTGCCTCGTCCCCGCCCCACGTCCATGCAGCTGCCCCAGATCAGCTGCCAGGCCCAGTGGGCAGAGCAGAGCGGCCAGGGGAGGCCATGTCTGGGGGAAGGCGGTGGGCACTGGGAAGGGGCTGGGGCCGCCGGGGAGAGCAAGGAAAGGTGCGGCCTCTGCCTCAGCCCGGACTCGCCCCTGGGGCTAGCTCGAGGGGCTCACCTGCTGGGTCAGGTCCCGGAGCATCCGAGGGAGGAAATACTCCTCCATCTGCCTGGAGACGGAAGCACAGCGCTGAGGCCGGGCAGGGACTGGCCTGCAGAGCCACAGGCCATGCACCCGCACCCACACCGCCCAGACCTGGATGACAGGAGGCGCTGGCGGGCGAAGGGCCCCACTGCGGGGGTGCCCCCCCTTCCGCCCCCCACGCCCAGCGCTTCCGAGAGCAGCTTCCAGGACACGGGTCTGAAAGGGCCCTGACGGAGACACGGATCTGCTCAGGTGGGCTCTGATGGAGTCTCCAAGTCGAAACCCCCGACCACAGGTGCCGTCACAGACGGAGCCCCTGACGGCTGCGCCCTGGAACACACAGGTGCACAGCGAGCCCAGCGCAGGACGCCGGGCACAGACGCGCCACTGAAAGGCGGGATCCAGAACCCAGGCGGACTGAGCAACAGCGCCGGACGCCCACCGCAGGAGACTGCGGCCCTCACCAGACCAGCTCGGGGTGGACCAGGGACCAGGCGTGAGACGCAGGCCCCGAGCCCGAGGATGGAGCAGCAGGGAGCCCAGCGTGGCCGGGGGCCGGGGGCCGGGAACGGGGCAGCCAGCAGGGGCCGTTGGGCGGGTCCCCTGAATACACACACTCCCACCCTTGGCTTGCACCCCAGGAGGCGAGAACCCGGTGCCCACGGACACCTGCACGGGCCCCCACGGGCCCCCGCCCTGCAGCCCCTCCGCCCAGGCGCCCGCGCTCCCTGCTGCCAATCAGTGCTGGCCTGGCCCCCCCCCCGCCCCCCCGTGCCGCCCCCGCCCCCAGGGCCTTGGTGCCGCCACCAGCTCGGGCGTCACCGAGCATTTCTCAGCGTCTCCCCCTCCCGTGGGGTCCCCTGGGCATCCCGGCCTTCGCCAGTGTTTTTGCGCCTCTAGCCCAGTGGGGCAGGAAGGACTCTCTCTGGGATGTCAACTGACACCCCGAATCCTGACGACAGGGAGGATTCTGCACGTCCGTGGCTCCTCTCCTGCAAGGTGTTCGTTTCTTTTCCTTTTGGGCTTTCTCGATTGAATTTTTTTCGCCTTTTCTCATTGACCGTGAGCTCCTTGTGTCCTGGACAGACGCGCACCAGGCACCTGCCCCGACGGTGTTCTCAGCCCCGGGAGGGACGGCGAGCCAGAGCTTCCTGCGGCCCCACGGCCAGCGCCCCAGGGCCCGGGGCCGTCACTGCAGGAGCGTCCTCCCGGCGCCGGGCTGCCCTCCCGGGCAAGGGCACCTTCCACGCCAAGCTCTCGGGGCTGAGTTGGCGCATCTTTCACCGCGCGGTTCCGCTTCTTGTGTCCTGCCCCCAGCGCCTCTCCTGTCTCGACATCACAGAGACGGGCTCCCACGCTACCTCCTGGACGCCGCATGGGCGATCATCCCGGCGTGAATGATGACTCTGCCGGTGCTGCTGGGAGCAGCTACCAGGCCGGCTCCCGCCCGCGCCCAATGTGCGGTCACGTCACTGCAGGTGGCCCCGGCCCAGTCTCCTGCCGCGGCCGCTGCCCGGAGCCCGGCGCTGCAGCACTGGCCGCCGCTTCTCCTCCTCCGGCCTCTTCTGGTCACTGGGTCCTCTGAGCCGCCTCTGGCCTTTCGTGCTTCCAGGGAGCCCTCAGCCTCCCAAGTTGCGTTCCGCACCCTGTTCGGTTCTCGTGGGGAGCGCGGGGCCGAGGGCCGGCTGGGGAACGGAGGCTCAGCTCTTCCATGCGCCCGTTTCTGCAGTGCCTGTGGTGCCCCTTGAGAGCGGGCGCTCAGGCGGCTCCCACCGAGCTGCCGGCTTGGGCTGTGGGTGTGGACGGGGCTCCTGACAGCTGCACTGAAAGGGGCGTCCTAAGAGTCCCAGGATGCAGGGCGCTGGGCAGGGCCAGGGCCAGAGGAGGAAGGGAGAAAACGAGCCACCCCTGGGAAACCTAGACGTGTGCCCCACAACCTCTACTCGAACAAAACCCAGCAAAAGCAGCCCAGGGACCGCTTGACACGGGAAGAGAAGGCAGCAGCAGGTCGCCAGGAACAGCACGGGCACCCAGAGTCCCCACAGGGGCACGCAGCCATTTAAAAAGTCAAGGTCATGGGCCTCCCCTGGTGGCGCAGCGGTTGAGCGCTGGGCTGCAAAGCTGCCTGAAGCCTCGGCAGTGCCGGTTCAATCCCCGGCCACCGGCGAGGGTCCCGCATGGCGCGCAGACCTCTCCTGCCGCCCGCTGCTCCCCTCAGCAGTGTCCTTCGGTCCTTCTGCCTGCTCTGCTCCCCGCTCTGGCTCTGGTGAATTCTCTCACCCTCCCGCGCTTCTGACTGTACCCAGTGCTTGCATGAATAAACAAACACATCTTAAAATAAAAAAAGGTCAACGTCAAAGCTTCCTATTGCAAGAGCGGCAACAGCAGTGACCAGGAGCAAGGCGGGCAGGGCCGGGGGGCCAGGCCTGGGGGACGGGGGCGCCCGCATGCACGGCACAGCCCAGAGCCAGGACCCTAGAGGAGCCGGCAGGCGGGCGGCTGGGGCACAGGCACCGCTCCCCTCAGCGTGTGGAGGTCAGAGGGGCCCGACAACCAGACACCGGTAGGGAGGCTGCGCCTGTGCCCTGGCGTCTCCCGCCACCCAGATCAAGACCCCCCGTGGGGAGAGGCCACCAGCCCGTGGGACTCACCGGCTCCTGGACCAGGGGGTGAACCAGCGCAGCTCATGGTAGTTGCCCTCGTTGGCCAAGGCCATTTTGGGTCTGATGAGCAGGATCCTCCTGCAGGCGGGGAGCGAGCACTTGGGAGGGGGCACCAGGACAAGCGGCCCCCACCCCGACTCGGATGAAGACAGCCGCCAGGACCCGCCGGGGGCAGCTGGCGTCCAGGGCCTGCCGGGACCACGGCCACCCTCCCAGCCTGGCCTTGCAGCCACGGGGCTACGTGTCCCCGAGCCCACCCCGGGGCCTCTCTTCAGCCCGAAGGTGCCGCCAGTGGCACTGGGACAGCAAAGGCAGGCCGCGTCTCCCTGCCCGGGCCTGGCCCTCCCAAAGGCCCAGGAGTTCCAGAAGACGCCTCCCGGCCCAGGCCTCGGGCAGGCACTCCCCGGGCACCCACCGATTGAGGAAGATCACCCTGCAGTTGTAGCGGACGTTGCGGTGCATGACGGGCCTGCGGAGAGAGGAGATAGGCCGCGCTGACCAGACAGGCCCTTCAGGGCTTTCCAGAGTCTGACCTGAAAAGACCAAGTGCTTCTGCCCTAGAATAAGCACGTGGTCACGCCCCATAAGGCTGTCCCTCTGCCCTCTTCCAGAACCTTCTGCTGTGGGCCCCATGAGGGAGCGGTGTGAGCTGGGCTCTGTCTGCAGAGGGGGCACTGTCACGGCAGACCTGACCGTCACACACCCACGCGTGAGAACAGGAACATCACAGCCACACTCTGCTGAACCCCCACCACAGGCGCCCCTGGACGGGCAGCGGGTGGACTGTCCCCGAGCATGCCGGGGGCAGAGAGCAGAGGTGGCACAGTTGCGCCAGATACAGGGCGGAAAGAACAAGCTTCACAGCACAGTGATTGCGACGTTGGGCGCAGGCAGGGCACAGGGCCGCAGAGCGCAGGCCAGAGCCCCACCTGGACCCGCACCTGTGGCCTGGCACCTGCAGAACCTGCACTGTGGGGCCCGCCGCCGCCTCCTGGGGGCAGGGGACAGAACCTGCGTTTCAGCAGCAGCCCCGTCCTCCAGGCTGCAGGCCCCGCAGGGAGGGCAGCTGTCCTCACATGGCCGGGCGGCACTCACATGCCCACATCACAGATGATGTCCCGCGTGACCGGGGAGTCCAGCAGGGCGGCCAGGGCCTGCAGCGAGTGCAGGAGGGTGTCCGACTCGTAGTAGTGGTCCCAGCACCCGTAGCCACTGAGGAGAGAGGACAGGGTGAGCTGGGGCGGGAGGGCCGGACTGAGGCGAGGGCAGGGCGGGCGCCCAGGAGGGAGACTCTGCTGTGCCAGGGCTGGATCGCTGCTCCCAAAAGCGAGGGCCGAAGGGACGCCGGGCCCTGCCCCTTCACCCCAGCCCGGTCGCTACGAGTTCTCGTGCTGTCGACAGTGCCGAGCTCGGGTCTTTAACCTCTAATATGGTCAAACCACACGGATCTGGGAAGAAAGGACACAAAGAGCCAGCGGGGATGGGGGTGTCTGAGGGACACGGCCCAAGACAGGAGCCGGGAGCTGGGCGAGGCAGGAAGGGCCCTCCTCAAAGCCTCCAGAGGCAGCGGCTGCCCACATTGATTTGGGGTTTCTAGCCTGGGGAGCGAGAGAGGACGATTCGCCAGAGCGCCCCTTCCTCTGACCAGCGCCTGGAAGGGGCGTTCCAGACGCTGAGCAGACGCCCTGCACTGGCATCTGTCACCACAGGCCCAGGGAAGCACCCCCACCCTCGGCTAGGCATAGGGGAGCCCCGGCTCTCAGCTAACGGTGGGGGCAAAGCATGGCCATGAGGCATGGAGACCTGGAGTCCTTCCTCTCCAGGCGGCTGCCGCTGGGGCTCAGTCCCGGCGGCCTCAGGCCCTCAGGCAACACCAGGTGCCCAACTGCCTGGGTCCAGGCTGGCCGGCATCAGCAGGGCTTGGCAGTGAGTGCCAGGGCCCACTTGGGGAGGCAGCTTTTCATCGACTGAGCCTGGCTCAGAGGAATCACCCCGCCTTTCCAGAAGAATCCAGGAGCCAGCCCACCCTGGGTGCCTGGAGCACCGGCCCTCAGTCTCCTTCCAGGTGCCAGTGGCCCACACCCCCGGGACAGGCAGACCAGCACAGAAGCAGCCCAGGGTCAGGGCAGGGTGGCAGGCCCTGGCGGTCAGGCGAGGGCTGTGTGAACCTGGACAGTGCGGGAGGCCCACTGAGTCGGGATTCTAAGGCGAGAAATCAACCCCACCCAGAAAACCAACTTGGAGGGACAGACAGCGGCCCCAGGACTCACACAGAGACACCGAGAGGCGTCTCTGCCGATACCAAGCCCAGCAACGAGACAGCCGAGACGCAGTCCGAGGACCGCCGACCGCAGTGGCCGCAAGGACAGGGGGAACCAGGGGCGCATGGGGCAGCTGGGCCCATCAGAAGAACCGGAGCTGGTAAAGGACTTACAGCGACAGTGACCGGGGGCCAGAGGGGGCCGTGGCGGAGGGCGGCTGGGGTGTCACTGAGGCCAAGTGGGAGGGAGCACTTGGCTTGCTTGGGATTGACGCTGCGAGCGCTTTATGGACACCATGAAAACGATGGGGAAACACGGGGAGGTGGAGGCAGAACGGAGGCGCTGCTGGTCAAGCCCTGTCCTGCGGTCACTGGCAGCAGGGGCGGGCCAGCCCTCCGCTGGGCCGCCCTGGCTCAGCAGCAGCACGGGGCCCGCCGGGTTCCCGGTGGTCTCCGGCTGGGCACCCCCGAGTCCCCTTCCTGGCCCTTCCTCTGGGGAGCCCGTGCAGGCACCCGTGCCCGGGGGCATGGCTCCATCCTCACCATATCTCCAGCTCCGGTCCAAGCCTGTACCTGGCTCCTCGGCACTTGGCGATCTCGATACCTGCGTGCACGGAGAGGGGCGGGGTCTAACGCCTGCAGACAGAGCAGGTGAATAACCAAGACCTGCTCACCTCTGCAGGAAAAAGGGGGGCCTCTCAGGGGCTGCCCTCAGCACAGGGGGTGGGGGGAGCAGGTCCCGGCTGGTCATTAACCAGCCTGGGGGCCCAGGGACAGCCTGGGCAGAGAGGCCGGGTGGGCGGAGCCTCAGCCCTGGACACCCAGACCACTTCTCCGGGGCTGGACTTGCTCCGGGCGCTGCCGAGAGGAAGGCAGGTTGATAGTGAAAAATAAACAAGGGGAGGAGGAGGCCCCTGGCACGGGCTGCGCACACGCCTCCGCCTGGCCAGGTCTGGTGACTGCTCTCGGGAACCCTCCGGCAGGAGCGTCTGTCCGGCACCAGACACGCGGGACGCGTACCTGCAGGGCAGCTCTCCTCTGGCCAGCAGCGCGCGGTGCCAGCTTCCACTCTCGCCGCAGGCGCCAGGATAACTGCAGGGCGAGCCCACGGCGCCCGCCGGGAGGCAGGCCACCCCGCCCGCCTTCCCCTAGGCCCGCTGCTGCCCGTGTCCACCCCGGGAAGGCGCCCAGCAGCAGAGACTTGCGGACACTTCTTCCCCACACCCTGGGCAGTGGCTGGCACCCTCTCCCGGGGGCACCCGGGGGACCGGCGGCTCGGCTGTCGCGCGGGGACCGGCCCGGCCCCCCATCCGCGCCACGGCCGGCCCGCGGCCCCCTGCAGCCCCCTGCAGCGCCGGCGCTGACCTCCCGCCCCACGTGGGTGGACTTTGGCCGGCCCCCTCCGGCCCCCGCCCCCGGCCCCGGCCCGGCCCGGCCCGGCCCGCAGACCCACTCTTCAGGATCCTCCGCAGGTTGCCCTCGAAGTCCAGGGCCCACTGGTTGAGCGCGCAGGTGGCCAGCGTCACCTTGCGGCCCATGCCGGCCGCGGGCGCGGGGACGCTCGTCCTGGCGAGATGGACCGCGGGGCCCGGACCCTTCCGGGGCCCCGCCCGCCCCGCCCGCCCCGCCCCGCCCCGCCCCGCCCCGCCCCGCCCGCCCGACGCGGGGGGGACCGGCCCCAGGCCCCGCCCCCGACGGCCCCGGCCCGGCCGGCGCCGACTGGCCCGCGGCGCCCGGGCGGCAGGTCCCGCCCCGGCAGCCCCGCCCCGCCCGGCCTTTCCGGGAGCGGATTGGGCCGCAAGCTCGCGTCAGCCCCGGCCGCCCCGCCCCCCCGGTCCGCGGGCGAGGATTGGGCCGCAAGCTCGGCCGGGCCCCGCCCCCGGTCCGCGGGCGAGGATTGGGCCGCGGTCCTCACGTGACGCCCCGCCCCCGAGCCGCGGAGCCCCGCCGCGCCTGCGCAGGAGGGAGGCCGGCCGAGCCGCGCGTCTGGGCCCGGGCGGCACCTGCGCCGCCGCGCGGCCTCCGCGGCGCTGGCCCCCCCGACCCGCCGGTACCGGCCCGAGACCCAAGCGCTGCCCGCCCCCCCGACGCCGCCCCGGCTCCAGCCCGAGGCCCGGGCGCTGCCCCCCGACGCCGCCCCCCCGGCTCCAGCCCGAGGCCCGGGCGCGGGTGCTGCGGATTTCGCGGCTCGCGCTGACCCGGACGCGGCGCCGGGCGCGCCCCCGAGGCCCGGTTTCCAGGCGCGCCCGAGGGCGGGCGGCCCCGGGGTCGATCCGCGCGGCCGCGGCCTCGGGCGCCGCCTCCCGCCCCCGCGCTCGGGCCGGGCCGGGCGGGGCGGGGCGGGGCGGGCCGGGGCGTCAGTCCCGCCGGCGCGAGTGGCGCGCGGAGGCCCGGAGTCGGCCCAGGGGCGGGCGCGGCGCGCGGCCAATCGCGGGGCGCGGGGCGGCCGGGGGGCGGCGCTCGGGCGGGCCGGGCCGGGGCCGGCGGGCGGAGGCGCGGGCGGGACGCGCAGGTGAGCGGGCGCGGGGCTGCGGGGCTGCGGGGCTGCGGGGCCGGGGCCGGGGGGGGCCGGCGGGCGCGGGGGGCTGCGCAGGCGGGGCCCGAGCTCGGGGGCGGCGCCGCGGGGGGCGCGCGGGCGGCGGGGGCGCCGGGGATGCGCGTGTCTGGCGGGGACCCCGGCGTGGAGGGGCGCGGGGGCCCCCCGGGGTGGCCCTCGGGGACGCTCAGCCCGCGGCGGGGCGGGCCGGGCGCTCCGGGCGGCCTCCCCGGGCCGGCGCCCCGCTGGGGAGAGCCGGGCGGGTCCGCGGTCCCGGCGCGCGGGGAGGCCGCGGCAGGTGCGGCCCGCGAGCCGCTCCCTGGAGGGGGAGGGCGCGGGCGGCGTGGGGAGCCCGCCGGGGTCCGAAGGGCCCCCCTTTCCTTGCCAGCCGTTGCTGCTCTCCCGCTTCCGGGCGCTTTAGGGTTTTATTTAAGGCTCTCGTTGAGGGGGACCCCCCGCGAGCGAGCTTCCGGCGGCGGGGGGGGGGGGGAGCGGGAGGGGCCGGACTCCGCCCTCCTGGGCGCCGCCCGCGTCGCCGCGGAGCATCCGCGCGTCTCAGGTGGGGACGCGGGACACGCTCCGCGAGGGAGGGTCCAGGGGCGTCGGTGCCGGAGAGCCCCCCTGCACCCTGCGGGCCCCCGCGCCTGCTCTGGAGGAACAGCCCCCGGGCCTGGTGAGGGGCTGTGAGCCCGGGGCGCACATCCAGGGTCCAGGTTTGCTCCACGCTAGGCCTGGAAGCCGCGAAGAGCGATGGGGCCGGGATGCCCTGACCCCGGCCCGGCCCGGGGCGGCCAGAGCGCGCTGGGCGCGGAGGGCGGCGGCCAGGCCAGCCCTGGGCCCGGGACGCGGCCGCTGTCGGGCGGGCGTGGGGCTGTCTTTATTCTTTTTATGGCTCCTGATTTTCCCAGGCCACGCCCGGCTGTCCTGCTGCGGGTGCGGGTCCGGCCCTTCCTGGGCCCAGTGCCCCTGCTCGTGTTACCGAACGCCGGCCTCCGTTTCCCTCAGCCAATAAAAGGAAACTGAGTTTGAGGAAAAGGAAAGCGGTTTTATTTGTCGACAAATGAGGAGGGCGGCCGACTCGTGTCCGAAAAACCACCGTCCTCCTCTTTGGCAGCGGGCAGGGGTGTTTATACAGGGGGAGATGGGTAGGGGTCCGCGAAGGGGGGGGGAAGGGGTCCACACAGAGACCAGCTCAACAGGGAGCTGGATGGGGGTCAGCTCCTTCATCTTAAGGGAAGGGGAAGGTGTGGAGGCACAGAGAGGGGTGATCGCCAACTTGTTTTCCTTAGGGCGAGGGGGAAGGGTCTGCAGGGAACCCGGTGGGCGCCAGCTTGTTTTTCTTCCCAAGGGGAGGGGAAGCTGCAACAAATGGGAAAGACAAGTCCTCAATCCTGTTAATGCTAGACAAGGGGAATTGCAAAAAATGGGGGAAAGACGAACTTGTTAACTGGATCATAATCCCCACTCTCAGTTATGACCTTCCATTTCTATGGGAAAAGGGGCGTCGTTGTCATCTGGCTGCTTCCTGCTGAGCAGGGTCGTCGTGGTGGGGGTTTACGATGGAAGGCCTGCACTTACTGGTGCCATAGTTCCCGACACGATGTTAAGGTCTTGGTGCTGGTGTGGCAGCGACAAGATATACAACACAGCGTAGTCCTAAATGTAAGAGGGATTACTTTTTCTCTTCCTCAAGATGATGACATTAAGGCTACAGCCCTCACTGGAGAGGACCGGAGAATAATATAGTTACGGAGACATAATTTTTCTCTACCCTCATCCCAATTCTGTAAAATAGTAAACCAAATCTAATTTTAACAATTTTCCCTATATTTGCATAAACTCATAGGGCAGAGTAAACAAGTAGAGTGTTGCTGGCTTTGTTGAAAATTCCACAGGCCTTAGCGTGAGCTTTTTAACATCCAGTCCATGCCGGCTTTATCAAAGTCACAGTCTCACCAATCTTCACCTGAGAATTCCTCTTCTCAAGGTTCCCAGGACTTTTTCCAGGGTTTTCCTCAGTCCTGTCCATGGAGGCAGCTTCCTCATTTTTCATGGAGGTCTCTGGAACCCAGTAAGCAAGGTGGCAGGCTCTTCTTGGCTCGCTCTTCTCAGCTCAGCACGGTTTATTCCCAGAAGAATTTCAATCAAAGCCTTTTAACAAAACATGTTTAATTTACCAGGTTAAGGAGAAATAAATAAAATTCCCTATTGAGATTATGCAAAGATAGACATTGTCCTGAGAAGTACAAATATTGCCTATAAATTTTTGGGATGAGACAAGAGAAAAGCAAATGCTTCAGTTTGTTCATAAAAAGATGCAAATTGTCATTGTTAAGATCATAGCCCAGCTTAAAGACAAGGTTTCTGGAGACCCAAAAAACCAAAACATTAAAAACTAATTTTTTTTAAAAGTCATGAAATATTATTCAAATCTTCCTCAGTGTACTTTCCATATATTAAGTCTCCATCTTCTGTTGGTAATTTTCATAAATCAAATTTTTATAGGCTCGGTAGGTCTTTTCAGTTCCAAAACATATCTATATTGTCAGTCTCTTTTTGTGAGTTTTTTTAAAGACAAAGCTCAGCAAATAAACTTTAGAAAGAACAAAAACTCGAAAATGACCGTACCTAAAATCACGGCTTAAGGTAAAAGACAAGGATGTTTGCTCAATTTTGTGACACACATACACATATATATTTCAGTATAATCAGAACCATCCAATAATATTATACCAGAACATACTAGGTTTTAAAAATCGCATATATTTTAGAACACTTTAATCAATTTTATATATGCTGAAAAGGTATAACTTTTTCCCTCAATGACAATTTTTATGAAGTTTTAACATTTCTAGATTGGTCCAATGTGTTTTAGCATTTTGCTATAAGGAAAATAATTTATTAAGAGTCCTAAGACGAATCAAATAATTTTACTTGATTCAAAAAAAAAAAAATTTACCATTTCTGAAATTTGACTCCAAGAAAAGTTTTTCACAGGCTTAATAATATATACAGATTTTTATAAAACAACACTAAGGTACCCAGAGTGATAACTAGAGGTTTTTAAAAGTAGATATATTTTCACAGTGCTCAACAATGCTGACAGGACTATATTTTTCAGTTTACCAAGTCCAAGGGTAAAAGAGAACCAAGATTTCAGATTACCTAAACAGTTTTTAATTTGTCATCAAGAACTAGTAAAAGCAGTTTAAGAATATTTGAGCCTTTACTGCAGATGGAAAAGAAATTAAATTTTGGTTTTACGTAAGTACACCACTGATAATAAATTTGAATATTCCTAAAGCAAGTCATTCTAGCACATAGCATTTTTCTAAGATACCTCTCTCAGATCTGCAAAGCTTTAACACCTTTTTTTTTTTCAAGATAGCTATTTTGTTTTGACACTAAATTTTTCAGACCTTTAGCATATTTTTTTACATACATATCTTAACACAATCTCGCTTTATTTGCATTTAGAGTTACAACATTTTAGTTTTTAATTTTTAGATTGTAAGACTGTTGTAGAAGACTTTTGTCTTTATTTATGCCCACAGGCCCAGAGATCTTTTTCCAAAGTCCAAGCCCCCAGCAATTAGGCAATAGAGCATCCATTGCCCCAGCAGAGGCACATTCATCGCACTTTAAAGCAAGCAGGGAGTACAGAAGCTGGAGACTCCCAAGAGGTCATCTGGTCATCTGGGGCACACAAGTCAGGCGCCTGGCCGGAGAAAGTCCATCAGTCACTCCCTGAAACTTTTAGTCCACTCTGAGGCCTTGTCCCAACAAAACTTCACCTAATTAACAGGTAAGCCTCACATTTTTTACTTTAAGACATTGTTAGAGCGGTTATGCTATTATTCCTTTGTACTGGATAACTCATACATAAACACATGTTTTATTTTTTTCTGGATGATAACAATAAAGTTTTGTTTTCCTACTATAAGAAGCAAAAATACACCAAAAGCTCATCAAGCAGTCAACAAACTTTCGTTATTAAACTTAGTAAATCCTTAGTTTTATAGGAAAAATATACCACCATTTAAATAATGATAAGAAGAACAGAGATACCAACTGTAGCTCTAGTTTTTCTTAGGATACGAAGTTCAAACTGCAGAGTTATAAAGGAAACAAATTTATATACCAGAGGTTTTTTTTTTTTTTTTTTCCTTGGCTAGGACAAGGGAAGGAAAAATCAATTAAGTTGCTTACCTGGGGAACAAAGGTATTTCTTTCAAGGTAAAGAAATAGTGGGCCAGTCTTTTTAGATGAGAATTTTATCAAAAAGAAGTCCAGCTATAAACAAAATCACACTTATCTCTGTTAACATAGACCAGGTCAATATTTTTTCTTTTTTTCTCTTTTTTTTTTTTTTTTTGACCACTCCAAATTTTTTAAAACACATTTAACATACAATAAAACTTTTAACTCCCAACATTATAAATCTAAGACATATGTGCTTTAATTAAACCATTACATTTTGTACTAGTTTTTGTTTACCAAAAATTTTAGATCGCGATCTCAAAATTTGGGTTCTTTTCTATTAGAATTTATATAGGCGCCATTTAAAATGATTTTTAACACAGTAACCCTCCAGAGACAAAAAAAACACAAAGGCAAAGACATAGACACAGAGATCTCTTTCATTTAGAATTTTGGCCATTTGCACTAATTTTTAGAGATAGTTATTTTACCAATATTTCTGACAACACTGACAATAATTATTAATTTGCTTTTTAATATCTTTTCTAACTAACTCCTTCAGATAAGAAAACATTTCTCAAGTTATATTTGTAAGAATGCCCCTTAGGTTCTAAAGAAAGTGGGGCATAAAATTCTCTATCAGTTTTCTAAGGCCACATATTCCTTTAAATTCCTTGAAGAGATATTGGATGGGTAGACAGTTTCACCAAAACTATATCCCTTTCAATACAAAGATAGACTAATTCCTAAAACAACTTAAGATTTCAAGTTAAGTTGATATAGCCATCTAAGTTCTGTTGTTTTTTTTTTTTTTCGTTTTTGTTTTTGTTTTTGTTTTTAATCAAGGAGGTTTCCAATAAGAGAGATGGAAGTTAAAGTCCTTACATGTTCTAATAAGCATCCCATTTTAATCATTTTAAAACCTCTAGAACCCAAGATTGGAACCATTTTTAAAGACAAGCATAGAAAACTCAAATTGCTTCACGGAGTCCTAGTTTCTGTTTGACCTCACGGATGAGGCCTGGTCCTAAGAAAGATAGAACATGGGCCATGAGATATACATGGGCCACGAGAAGGACAGCAGAAGAGGCAAATTAAGATCTTAACTTGGCAGCTTATTTGTTCTTAGATTCTTACTAGAAATTTGATAAGGAATATTATTTACAGAAACCTACTATGTAGTTTGATTAGTAAATTGATTATTTTAAGAGACTTAGATTTTCAAGGAAACCTAAAATTTTATGGTCAATAAGAAGTTTAGAAATTTTCCAACCAACTAGCAAGCTTCCTTTATAGCTAACTAGAAAGTCCAAAGTAATCTTGACAAAACCATCTGAGCCTGATCCCAGAAGTCTCAGCACGTGATCAGAAAAAGCCTGCAAATTTATAGGAAGAAAACACCTCCTTAAAGTGGAGAACACTCTCTTCAGCTTACTTTACATCCAATTATTACAGTGACTGGTAAATACTGAGTTAGGTATCTGACTAAAACATAAAAAGCAGAAAAATACCAAATTTTTAAATTATCCAAGACCTGATTCCAGATACTTGCTTGAATTCCTTACACAGGCACAAAGATCAGATTCACAAATCTATTTGCATAAAATGGGGAAAAGGTAAGGTAAGACAAGAATAGAAAAACTGAAAAAGAGATGTCCACAAGACCAAAAACCTGGCTCACAAAATGCCAAGAGCTGGAGGCCTGGGTAGAAGGGATTAGCATAGCCATTGACACAGCTATGGAAACCAAGATCCTCAGTCTCCAATGCCTAGATTACAAAGCATAACACCCAAGCAGGTATAAAGATATGGAGATTGGGCCTATTGCAGAATTGGGCCTATTGTAAAATCTCTGGTCACTTTCAGATTCTACATAATTATCCAGAATCAGCAACTAACCCGAAGGCTCACAAGGGGCGAATCCCTCCCAAACAGAAGACAACTAAATCCGTTCAATCTCTGCACAAGCTCCGGAGAGCATACCGTCTGCCCACCTGTGCCTAAGTAGCTTCCTCTTTTCACCAACCCTCTCCCTCTGCAGGGCAGCAGCCTCCCTGCCTGCCCATGACCTGTCTCTCTGGGGCCTCTCCTCACTGACCTCCCTCAGCGGAGGTCACTCTCCTCAAAGCCACCCACCTGCAACCACGCAGGCCTCTCTCAGCAAACCTGTCCCTCCTGGGGCAGCTGTTCCTGCCCGCTTGTGTCTCCTTTACTTTCCTTGTCCCCTTTCCCTAATAAGCCTGCCCTTTCAATATAACTAATGTCTCTGTCTCGTGGAGAAACTGGCCTGGGAAGCTTGCTGCAGGTCCCTGAAACAGGAGCTCTGGCAACACCTTTCCCATAGTGAACCCAAAGACCCCGCACTCCAGACCCACTAACTCCAAAAACAACATCAAGTAGAAGTCCTGGTCCAAGCCCAGTTTTCTCTCTGGAACAATTACAGTCCTTCCAGCCATCTGCCAATGTCCTAGAAGAGTCAGAATAATCTTAGGTTGCCTAAAGCCAAAGCATCTGGACTGACACTGAATGTCAGGGTAAGATTTTAGCAGAGCATAGATAAAAGGAGCTCACAGGTGAGCCAGCCAATGTGGAAAAGGAGAGTATATTGCCTGGCTCTTGTGCTAAAAAAAAATCAGTCTGTTCCCCACAATCAGTTTTTCCTGGGCTCCTGCAGGGAAACCATGATAGGGGTTGCTTCTTAGACATAGGTTTGTAGCTACAGGTCGACCACTCAGTTAATATTTTCCCCAAGGGGCTTTTAGATGGAACAAATACGGCACCTCTCATAAGTCTAACTAAATCCCTGGCTTCCAAAAACAAACGGGAAACTCCAAATACCAAATACCAAATAGATATCAAGTGACAAAAACACCAAATGTTTCCCAATTCCCACTCAACCGGGCCTAACACACCAAAGAGCGCTCCAAATTGAGGGAGACTCATAGACTCCCTCCCAAATGAGGAGACCTGAACTCCCTCTGCGAGGGGACTCAGATTCCTCCCGAATGTGTGAAGGCCAAGGTCTTGGCGTGCACGCCAGGGGAACTTACACCAAACGCCAGGGGACCGCGGTTTTCCATCCAGTTTCCATTTCCTCAAAGGTAAATCCAGGGTGCAGAGAAGAGCTGTGCCTCTCCCGAGGAGGACTTGGGAAGTTCCCCGGAGGAAAAAGAACTCCGGCAGCTGCTGGGACTCTCCCTCATCCTCCTGGAGAGAGGGCGCTCCCTCTCAGCAGGAGGGTCAGGATGCCACCCGGGATGCCCAGGCCCCTCTCTGACAGCCCAGACCAGCATAGATAGGTGAGCCCTGGTGCTCTGCAGCGGGCAACAGCTCCGTCAGTTGGAAGTCAGAGTTGGGGTTGGGAGAGCCGAAGTGGCATCCACCTCCTGGCTGGCTCGCCAAAATTGTTACCGAACGCCGGCCTCAGTTTCCCTCAGCCAATAAAAGGAAACTAAGTTTGAGGAAAAGGAAAGCGGTTTTATTTGTCGACAAATGAGGAGGGAGGCCGACTCATGTCCGAAAAACCACCGTCCTCCTCTTTGGCAGCGGGCAGGGGTGTTTATACAGGGGGAGATGGGTAGGGGTCCGCGAAGGGGGGGGGGAAGGGGTCCGCACAGAGACAAGTGGGCGCCAGCTCAACAGGGCGATGGATGGGTGTCAGCTCATTCATCTTAAGGGAAGGGGAAGGTGTCAAGGCACAGAGAGGGTGATCGCCAACTAGTTTTCCTTAGGGCGAGGGGGAAGGGTCTGCAGGGAAACCGGTGGGCGCCAGCTTGTTTTTCTTCCCAAGGGGAGGGGAAGCTGCAACAAATGGGAAAGACAAGTCCTCAATCCTGTTAATGCTAGACAAGGGGAATTGCAAAAAATGGGGGAAAGACAAACTTGTTAACTGTATCACTCGTGCCCACACGACCGTCACGGAACAGTGTGACCCACGCTCTGGCAACAGCCGTGCGCCGGGCCGGGAGGCCATCTGTCCCCGGAGCACAGAGGCTGGCTGGGGAGCGTCTGGGCTTGCCCGCGACTCTCCTGCCGCCTGAGGGCCGTGGTCACGTCCCAGCAGGCATGTGCGGTTCTCAGAGCCTCTTGCCATCGTGGGGGCCGCTGCCAGCGAGGCAGCCCCTTCCTGCCCCCAGAGGGACAGCCCCGGCCGGCCCTGCCCGCAGCACGAGCAGTGAGGGCGGCGGGGCCGTGTCTGAGGCCTCCGGAGCCGGTGCCCCCTCCAGGGAAGGAAGCGCCCGAGTCACAGCCCCTGTTGGAGCTGCGGAGTGTGGGCTCAGGCCGCCCACGTGTGCGTTGCATGTCCGATTCCCGCAGCTCACCCCCGGAGTCGTTGACCCTCAGTGTGTATTCTAGATTGTTCTGCAGGTCAGTCACTGACCTCACAGCACGTCCCAGGCTCCCTCCCCCTGCCTTTCCCTAAGTTGGTAGGATCCAGGGTGGTGCAGGGGTGCGGGCTGGGCCCCCTTCAGCACCAGCCTCAGGACCCCAGAAGAACCAGCCTGGCTCCTGGAGGCAGGTCCTCAAGGGCACGGGAAGGGGTGCAGACCGGGAGGGGTGCAGTCTCGTGACTGTCCCAGTAGGGGGGGGGGAGTTGGAGCAGCTTCACTCTTTATTGGCAGATTTTTTTAAATACTTACTTTTATTTATCTTTAAAGAAGCCGTGGGGGGCGCCTGCCCCCTCATAGCCCTCGGCAGCCCCGGGGCATCTTTGCCCCAGGCCTGCTGACTGACCCTCCTCTCCGGCTTGAAGGACAGCGGCTGCCTGCAGAGCCAGGCTTCCAGCTGGTGGGCTCCGCCGGCTCCTCGGAAGTGCCTGTGGGGGCTGGATTCCGGCTGACAAGCTTCTAGAAATGTTTCAGGTGCACGTGCGGCTGCTGGGTGTGAGTCTACAAGAGAACACCTTTGCTGGGTTGTTCTCATCCACCCGTGTGCGGGCTCCTGGCCAGGCCGCCGCCTCCATCTGTCCAAGGACTGTGTGATAAGGCTGCCTGGTCCCTGACAGTGGACGCTGAAGAAATACCATCTGGCCTCTTCTCTCCCTCTGATCCTGAATTGCCAGCTCCTGAGCGTCTCTCTTGTCTCCATGTCCCCTCAGGACGTGGCCAGCAGGTTGGCGAGGCTCAAACAGGATCCTCTTCCAGACCCCAAGAATCCAGAGCCTTTAGAGGCGGCTGTTGCAGAAGAAGGTCATTTCCCTTCCCGCTCTGCTGTGAGGCCGGTGGCCGCAGGTTGGAGGTAAGCGTCCCCGCACCAGTGCCCACGGGCACAGGCAGCCCCTTCTCAGCTTGGAAGAAGTAAAGACGGCAGGTACCTCCGCTCTTGGTGCCAGCGCCTGTCGGTAGGCCCAGGGCTGAATAAACTGCACCGGGCACCTCCCTCTGCCGTTTCCTGCCAGCTGCTGCCCAGCACGCTGCCCACATGTCTGGTACCAACCCGGCGCTCGGGGTGGAGCTGGCACTGGCGCGTGGAGTCTGCAGCCCGGGTAGCCTCTAGGGCTGTTTCCGTCCCCAGCGGTGCCTTCCTCCAGGCCACCCTCCTCTTGGGCTTCCCACGCTTAGTTCCGAGGCTACGAGTTTCCTGGCCTTTCTGCAACCTCCAGTGTGTTGGGCAACCCCAGGGTGATGTCGGTGCTACACGTCGACTCCATGCAGCTCGTGTGTGGCTTGGGGTGCCGGCTCCACCTCCCTGTCTGTGCGCCCAGGTGCCAGGGAGGGACGCTGGGCAGTGGGGAATGGGACCAGAATGGGTGGGGAGCCGAACGGCTAAGTTTGATTAGTCTTTATTTTCATTTCTTATGAATTTTTTTATTTTGATCAAAGCCTCTGTGTGTTACAATATAATGTAGCTTTCAGGCGTTCACCATTGAAAGTCCCTGTCCCTCGCCGTGCCGATGTCCTCTTTCCTCCGCTTTACCCGCCCTGTTCCCCTCTGGCAGCCCGGTTGGTCTTCCATAAACGGATTGAGAACGGCAGATGGGCGTTGCTTAAAGATAAATTCTTTAAGCAAGAAGTAAGGAGGGCTTGAGAGCCCGCGGGGAGGGCTGCAGCTGTCCGGGCTGGGGGGCCATCAGCAGCTTGGAGCCCCCGGTGGCTTCGTGCTCAGAGGAACGAGTCTCCTATTCTGGACCCCCGCAGGGCCTCCCCCGCGAGGGGCAGGAGGGGCACGCAGGCGGTCAACGTTGTGTTAGAGGGCGTCGGAGCTGTTGATCTGCGTGACAGCTCTGAGAGCGTTCGGGAAGTTATTAGAGATAGGCGCATACAAAGTTTAGCAAATGGTAAGCGAGGCAACCGTTCATTCAAGGAAAAATAAAAGGTCGTTGCAAGGAGGGAGCATGCCGCGTGGCCTCTGAACCAGGATATGTGTAGAGGTGGCGGGTGCCGCCAACGAGGTGAACCACAGGCGAAGGTCGGTGAGGACCTCGTGGGCATATTGGTGGTACGAGGGAGGCTGGGAGGCGGGAACAAATGGTCAGAGGTTCGAGCCGTGGCGGCCGTGGTCGCGCGGTGGGGAAGGCCTGCGGCCGCCACGAACGGACGGGCTTGAGACAGCGGGAAGTGGAGAGGCCAGAGGAGAGGCTGTCACAGCTCTGGGAGCGATTCTAAGGTGCCGCGAGGTCTTTCTGGCCTGGAATCTGCGTCCAGGCTGAGGTGGCAAGAGGGGGCGTGGAGGAGGCCGGAGGGCCCAGGGGCGGCGGGTGGATGCTGTTGGGAGCTTGGGGTGTTCGCGTCTGAGCCGCGTCTGTTCTTCCCTCAGGGCCCAATGGCTGCAGAATCCCAGCCCCGCGCTCCCAAAGCCAAGAGCCCGAACCGCGTGGCCAGCGGCAGGGCCGCAACCCAGGGCCAGTGGGGCCGCGCCTGGTAAGGCTCTTGCCGTGTTCCCGGCTGGGAGATCAAGGGGTGTCTCTGGGCGCTTGCCCGCCCTGGCGGTTCTCTGGGCCTGTTGAAAACAAATCTTGGTTTTAAGGTGAAGGCTGAGGAAACAGTGCACTTGCCCCTTCTAGCAAAGGAGGCATTTGAAAAAGGAGAGCCCGGGAGCTGCCTGAGGGGCAGCTGGCCTGGCTCTGGCGCGTGGCTGACCTGGGCCTCCTGCAGCCAGAGCGCAGCGGGGGCTTGGGAGGGGCTGAGTGTCCTGCAGTCGGGGACCGGGGGTCCTGTGACCTCGTGGGTCACTGGGGCCTCCTCCACTCACGTTGAGGGTGCCGGGCAGTCTGTGGGCACCCGCAGACCTCCCGGGAGGTCGAGACTCCCGGGGCGAGAGGCAGAGCCCGTCTTGAGGGCCGGCCGGCCGGAGCAGGGGGACGGGCTGAGCTGGGCGGGCGCAGTGCCCGGAGCCGGGGGCACACGGCTGGCGTGACCTGTGACCCGCGACCCCACCCGCCTGCAGGGAGGCCGACTGGTTTTCCCTGGCGAACGTCATCTTCCTGCTGCTGTTTGCGCCCTTCATCGTGTACTACTTCATCATGGCCTGCGACCAGTACCAGTGCGCCCTGACCAGCCCCGCCCTGGACCTCGCCACGGGGCGCGCCCGGCTCTCCGACATCTGGGCCCGGACGCCGGCGGTCACCTGGAAGGCGGCCCAGCTCTACGCCCTGTGGGTCTCGTTCCAGGTCAGACCCTGGCGCCGGCGCGGGGCCCAGGGGTGGCGCGTGTGGGGCCCCGGCCGCGGTCTGGGTGGTGGAATCCCGGCCCTGGCCGGCTGCTGGGTCTGGGACCCGCGAGCGTCCCCTGAGCCAAGGGCAGGCAGAGCGCAGGGAGCAAGACCCCGGGGAGGCGCGAGGGGCCGGGTGGCCACAGGGACCCACCTCCCGCCCCCGAGGGACGCCTCACTGCAGGAGACACCCCGCCCTGCCGCGTCCCCGCTGGCCTCCCAGCCCGGAGGTCGCCAGGCGAGGCTGGGCAGTGGCCCGGGACTGTGTTTCTTGTCTGGGCCCGGGCGCTCCTAGGCCCCTGGGAGATGCCGGCTCCCCCCGCCCTGGGGATGGGCTCCCCCCGCGTCTGCCCAGCGCCCCGGAGACCCTGTCATTTGGGTTTCGTTCCCTTTGGGTTAAAGGGCTGGGGCAGCTGGGCCGCACGTGCACACAGCCCGCTGCCCCCGCAGCCGACCCATTCGCACGCTGGGTCCCTCTGCCCCGCGGCTGTTTCTGGGCGTGGCACCCCCACACGCTGCACCCTGAGAATTTGCCCTCGTGCAGAGAGCCCCGGCGAGGTCCCTCCCTTGCCATCCGCTTAGGGGCAAGGGCCAGCCTCGGGCGCCCGTGGGGACGGCCAGCAGGTGAGCGGTGGGCAGCTGGGCGGCCGTGGGGAGCGCCTGCTGACGCGTGCGGGGCCCCTCTTGTGAATGGGATTATTGCCTTTAAAGGGCGCGTTTTGTGTCTGTGAATGTCAGCCCAGCCTGCTCTGGGCCCGCACGGCACATGGGAAGGCCCAGCGGCTCCCCCGGGGTTGAACGGGCTCCCCAGCTCCCGAGCCAGAAGCTCTTCTGCAGGAAATAACCGTCCCCCAGGCCTTCCCGCCTCCTCGGCGCCTCCACCCCGGCCTAGGGAGGCCGGGCGCAGCTCCGCTGACCCCCGGGTCAGCTCCGCTCACCTCTGCTCGCTCTGCCCAGGTGCTCCTGTACATGGCGCTTCCCGACGTCTGCCACCGGCTCCTGCCCGGCTACGTGGGCGGCGTTCAGGAGGGCGCCGTGACGCCCTCAGGTGAGGCCTGACCTCGCCCTCGCTCCCCTGACTGCCCGGCCCGGCCCTTCCTTTCACGCCCTCCCCTGGGCTGCTCCTTCCCAGATCTGCTCCCTGACAACAAGGAAATGTAGCTTGGGGTTACCGCGGGTCAGGGGATGCCAGGGGCAGCCCCGCACTGCCCTGCGTGGGGTTGGCGGTCATGATCCCCGATAACGAGGGAAGCGCGTGGCTGGCCTGCTGCTGGCCGCCTTGCCAGCGTGACCCTGCCCAGGGCACAGTGCGTCTGGGCTCGGGGACTATCGTTTAGGGCACTGCTGTCCCTCACAGCCACCCGAACCCCCCTGAGCCCGCAGGGGGGTCCCCCAGCCCTGCCCATAGCGGGCTCTGGCCCCGGCATCTGCTCCCCGCGCGGTGCAGAGCATCTGACACCGTTCGCTGGTTGCAGAGCCTCCAGCTCACAGAGTGCAGGCAGATGGCCTGCGATGAGTTAAGGGGTGTCGGACCCCACTCCAGGGGCTCAGCAGAGGGGCAGCAATCCCCACAGCAGCAGCGGGAGGGGCGCTGCTGGCACCCCCCTGCAGCTGGGGCCTGGGGGTCGGGCCGGGGGGCTGCCGGGGCTGGGCCGTGGGTGCTCCGGTTTCGTCCGCCCTCTGCAGGCGCCGTGAACAAGTACCAGGTGAATGGCCTGCAGGCCTGGCTCATCACGCACCTGCTCTGGCTCGCCAACGCCCACCTCCTCTCCTGGTTCTCCCCCACCATCATCTTCGACAACTGGATCCCGCTCTTCTGGTGTGCCAACCTCCTGGGCTACGCGGTCTCCACCTTCGCCATGGTCAAGGGCTACTGCTTCCCCACCAACGCCAAGGACTGGTACGTGCCGCGGCGGCCGGTGAGCCGGGCAACAGAGCCTTTGAAGGAGGCGCTGCCTGGCACTGAGGCTCTGGAGCCTGGCGAGGTGTGGGCTGGAGCATGAGGCTCAGCTTGGCAAGTCTCTCTTTGGTGGCCAGGTCAGCCCTGGCGGCACGCGTGGGAGGCCCCTTCTGAACAGGGGCACCGGGCGTGGCCCCTTGGCAACATCAGCGTCGCCCGCGCCACCCCCTGGGAACCCCGGTTATTGCACTGGTGTTGGTGCCGTCGTGGCCAGCCTCCCAGCGAGAGCCCGGCTGGTTGGTGCTGCTGTTAAGGAAGCCTCGGGTCGCGCCGTGGGTGGACAGTCACGTCTTCATCTGTCTTTTTTCTTTAAGATTTAAAAAAATTGGGTCTCCCCGGTGGCTCAGTGGTTGAGCGCTGGGTTGCGATGCTGCCCGCAGCCTCTGCTGCGCCAGTTCGATCCCCGGCTGCTCCCCGGCCACCAGAGGAGGGTCCCGCATGGCGCGCAGACCTCTCCTGCCGCCCGCTGCTCCCCTCAGCAGTGTCCTTCGGTCCTTCTGCCTGCTCTGCTCCCCGCTCTGGCTCTGGTGAATTCTCTCACCCTCCCGCGCTTCTGACTGTACACAGTGCATGCATAAACAAAAACAAACAAACAAATAAAATAAATAAATAAAACATGCCTCTATAAAATAAAAAAAAAATGTATATTCTTTAAAAAAAAAAAAGATTTAAAAAAATTTATTGATGCACACAAGAGCTGGGGTACAGGCCAGAGGTGTGGGGGTGAGAGGATTCCCCAGAGACAGAGTGGGGAGCAGAACAGGCAGATGGACCGAAAACCCGGCTGAGGGGAGCAGCGGGGAGACAGGAGAGTCTGCTGCGCCCGCCCTGTGGGGAGCTCCCTGGCCGGGGATCAACCTCGGGCCGCAGTGGCTGAGACTTAACCCCTGCGCCACCAGGGAGGCCCTTCCTCTGTTTATCCACCTAGTCACTCCCCGCCACCCGCCCATCTACAGGCCCACCCAGCCACCCAGCCACCCCGCACCTTCCACCCCACCCACCCAGGAGTCCGCCCTTGCCCCGGCCCCACCCCGCCCTCCCTGGCTCCCCTCATAGCCGCCATGTTAGGGTCCTGTAGCCGGGTGTAGGCGATGGGGATTTTTGAACAAGGTTCTCGTTCTCGGGGTGCTTACCTTGTAGGCTGGGGGCCAAGTAAAGACAAGTGTTTGCTTTAACAATTCCACGTCGTCCTTCGAGACCGGTCTGAGCAGTCACGGGCGGTGACGGCTCTCAAGGCTCAGGGAAATCCCGTCACTGCCTGGGTGGGCGCGGCCCCGGCACTCGGCCCCTCTGCCAGGAGTGCAGCCTCGGTGCCCGCGGAGCCCCGTGCCGAGTGCCCTGCCGGGGGGGCCCAAGTCCAGCCTGCGTGGGGCCCTGCGGGAGCCCGGCAGCGGCGGGGTGCCCTGGTGTCTTCGGAAGCACAGCCAGCCGCCCTGCCCGATGAGCAGCCCCCTGCACACAGCACCCCGAGTTGGGCCGCCCCGCGTCTGCGTGCGCGAGGCGGGCCCCGTGTGCGGCTTCTCACCACGTGTCTTTCCTTTGTGTTCTTAAGCAAGTTCACAGGCAGTTTCTTTTACAACTACATGATGGGCATCGAGTTCAACCCTCGCATCGGGAAGTGGTTCGACTTCAAGCTGTTCTTCAACGGGCGCCCGGGCATCGTCGCCTGGACGCTCATCAACCTGTCCTTCGCGGCCAAGCAGCGGGAGCTGCACGGCCAGGTGACCAACGCCATGGTCCTGGTCAACGTGCTGCAGGTAGGCTGGCCCGGCCGGGGGGGCTCTGACACGGGGTGGGGGCGCTCCCGGGACCCCGACCCGCCACCCTGGGAAGGCGCGCCCCCCACGCATCGGATGGCGTGGAGGGACAGGGGCGCTGCTGCCATGTACGTGTGGCCCCGGGAACGTGGGGCCTTGCCCGGAACCGGGGCTTGTTTCCCGCGCAGAGTTCAGGGAGCACCCCCAGCGCCCCCCGAGCTCGGCCACAGTCACACTCTGAGGCCCTCGCGGGCCCCAGGTGAGAAGGGGCAGGAGCAGCGATCGTCTCCCCTCTGACCTGTCTGTACTCAGACGCCCGTCCCCGCCGACCCGTGGGGGCAGCGGTCGCCGGGCATTCGCCCGGTGTGCCCGGGGTGCACGGTGCCTTGTCGCCGCGGGCTGTCCCCAGCCAGTCCCGCCCGAGCGAGCTCTCGGCTCCATCGGGCATCGCCGGGCTCCGTCTCTGGTCACTGTGGTCCTCCTGGACGAAGACACCCGCCCCGTCCCCACGTCCCAGGCCAAGCGCAGGGATGGCCCTGGGTGGCGGCACGGAGCACAGCCCCACGTGCCCTGGTCAGCGCCGGGTCAGCGCCTCGTGCTGTGTTGCAGGCCATCTACGTGCTGGACTTCTTCTGGAACGAAACCTGGTACCTGAAGACCATCGACATCTGCCACGACCACTTCGGCTGGTACCTGGGCTGGGGCGACTGCGTCTGGCTGCCCTACCTGTACACGCTGCAGGTGAGCGGGCGGGGGCTCCATGCGCATGTGTGTCCGCAGCAGCCTCGGAGGGAGGGGCAGCCTAGCGTGGGGCCCCTGCAGAGGCCCCCAGAGTGACCAGGCAGGCGGGTATCCTCAGGCCTCTCTCCCGGGTGTGTGGGCGCGTCTGTTCCCTGTGGGCTCAAGAGCCGTCCCCCTGGAGGGCGCATCCTAGGGGTGGGGCCCCCTGACCGCAGGCTACAGTCTCCACAGCCACTGGGGCGCTCTGCATTTGGGGGACACACTTCGCCCACGGAGAAGGAGGTGGTGTGGAATGGATTTTGGGTAGGAAGGATCGACCTGGGGACGCAGGCGGACGCTTGCATTCGCGTGTGTTGCCGCAGAGCTCGAGGGCGGCAGGCTGGCTTCTTGCCTCACGGCGGGCTTCCTGAGGGTCAGGCTGGAGACGCGGCGTGGCCTGAGGGGACCTGGCTGCCACCCGCTGGAGCCCAGAGTCAAGAGGTTCTCCTGATGGCAGGGGCGTGCTGAACCCCAGGGGAGCTGAGGAGGAGCCCCTGATTTGCATGGGGGGGTCAGCAACAGCTTCCAGGGCCAGCCACAGCCAGATTGAAAGCAGAGTGATGAGGCTGGGTGAGAATGTTCTGCAAAGGTGGATGGGTACGTGCAGTCTCCTCTGGAGAGTTTGGGGTGAGGGGCCCAGGGTCAGGGACTCAAGAAACGTCCCTGCGTTGTGAGCCACACAACAGGCTGCATGTGGCAGAACCAGCCAGTCCCACGGAAGCAGTGCCCGCGCTGGCCTGGGCAGCCCACAGGGCCTGTGGGACCACCAGCTGGGTCAGGCCTCGGCACAGCCCCCACAGGCCCCTGAGACCGGGCCAGGTGAAGCCATGAGGGTCGCGGGGTGCAGGTGGGTGCTGTGCTGGCAGCTTCCTTCCGGCACCCTGACCTCCATGCAGCGTGCCCCACAGTGACTCGGGGGTTCTGAGCAGTAGGTGGCAGAGCGGCCTGGCCATTCCACGGCCAAGAGCGGCCCTGCCTTCCTCTGCAGCCTCTGGGCTCATGCCTGGGAGGCCTGTCCAGGCCACCACGCATTTCACAAGTAGATGAGGAGGCTGGACGGGCATATCTCGCCCCAGGGCACCCTTTGTGAGCAGCGAGCTGGGCTGCCTGCCTGAACCGGTCGCACGAGAACAGATCTGCCAGGAAAGACTGGCCGGGCAGGACCCACACTGGCCGGACACAGCAGGGCCTGCGGCGGTCATGCCTTGGGCTGCTGTTAGCTGGTGGACCCCAGGCAGTGTCCCAACACAAGGGCCAGGGGAGGTAAGTGGGAACCTCACAGCAGAGCAAGAAGGTCCCCGCAGGGTGCGGAGGTCCTGGACTCCTGTTCCTGCCCCCCAGGCCTGGTTAGTGACTACAGGTCCCCTGGACCCGTCTTTCCTCCCATGGCCCGCGGGCTCTCTGCTGCCCCCTCGGACGTGCAAAACAGCAGTAATTGATTGGTTTTATGTGTGTGGTTAACCGTACGCGGTGCACTTGTGTGTGTGTGTGTGTTTGTGAGTGTATACACACACACACACAATCTGTATACCAGGCCTTGTTTGACCACCGTCTGTGAAGTACACGTGAGTGTGTATTTTATCTTGATTGCGTTGCTTGGGGTTCTCCAGAGACAGCGAGCCAGGCCGTGTGGGCTGTGTATGTATAACACAGGCGCAGGCTGTGTGGGTCACCCCTGGCCGAAAGGGCAGCAGGCAGTGCCCAGCACGTCTCAGTGGTCCTGGCAGGCCACCATCTTCAGGACAGAGCAAATGTCGAGTGGGGCTAAGGCAGTGCTGGTGGAATCACGGTTGCCCGGGGCGGTCTGTTCTCTGAAGCCTTCAACACGGTAGAGGAGGCCACTGTGTCCTGGAGGCTGACCTGCTTTACCCCACGTGGACCGTGGGAAATGCTGGTCACCCCTAACCAGCAGCTGCCCAGCAAGAGCCTGGTGGTGACCAGACACCGGGGTGCCGGGCCTAACAGGGCGTCACCTACAGTGAACCATGATGATGTGTTGGGGTGACGTTTTTATATTGTGTATTTACGTGACGTGGGACGTAAATGCGTGTCCATGTAACCATCGTGCACGTAGATCCAGCCGTCTGCGTGGGGCTGGGGGATGGAGGGGCTGGGCGGCCAGGTGTGTGTGTTCCTCCCCTGAGCCCAGCAGCCCTCCCGGCAGCTGCTTTTATCTCCCGGCAGAGCCGGCTGAGCCCACACTCCCGGCCGCTCCCCGGAGGAGCCTCATCCGACCCCGTCCTCTCGCCCCGCAGGGTCTGTACCTGGTCTACCACCCCGTGCAGCTGTCCACCCCCCACGCCCTGGGCGTCCTGCTGCTGGGCCTGGTGGGCTACTACATCTTCCGGATGACTAACCACCAGAAGGACCTGTTCCGCCGCACGGACGGACGCTGCCTGATCTGGGGCCGCAAGCCCCGGTTCATCGAGTGCGCCTACACCTCGGCCGACGGCCAGCGGCACCGCAGCAAGCTGCTGGTGTCCGGCTTCTGGGGCGTGGCCCGCCACTTCAACTACACCGGGGACCTGATGGGCAGCCTGGCCTACTGCCTGGCCTGCGGCGGGGGCCACCTGCTGCCCTACTTCTACATCATCTACATGACGGTGCTGCTGACCCACCGCTGCGTGCGCGACGAGCACCGCTGCGCCCACAAGTACGGCCGGGACTGGGCGCGCTACACGGCCGCCGTGCCCGCGCGCCTGCTGCCCGGCGTCTTCTAGGGGCCGTCCTGGGGGAGGACCCGCGAGCCGCGCAGCCGTTGCGGGGGGCTGTGGGGGCATCCCAGCCCCACCCAGAGCCTCAGCTTCCTTGGTGGTGACATGGACGCCTGGCGGGCTGGCGCTCCCGCTGCTGGGCGCTGCTCCCTGGCTCTCGGGCACTCCGAGGGTTGGGCCTGCTGCCTTCTCACCAGCAGACGACCGTCCCCGAGCCTTGCCGAGGGCGACTGTGCTTCCTGTCGTGGGGCGCCTCCCGCCCCCGCCTCCTGGACAGACGAGGCCGCGCTGGCCGGTCTTGAGCCCAGTGAAGGGGCTGCAGGGAGTGCTGCTCGGGCCAATGCCGGCGCCTGGACCCCTCCTCAGCGGCCCCATCCTGAGCTGCACCCGACGCCCTCTGCGCGCACGGCCAGATGTGTCGCGCATGGACACGAGGCTCCGACACGTCCCTAAACCAGCCCTGCCGCCAGCCACCCCGGCCGGGCCTGCCCAGCGAGATCCGAACCCCAGCCTTGGGCCAGGCCTGCCAGGTCCTTTCCTTCCTCGGGCGCCCCCGACCCAGAATCCTGCCTCCAGACTCGGCTGCCCTCGTGTTAGTCTTTATATTAAACTTTCTACTCGGTCTTCCGCTGTCCCCTGCGCCTGGCTGGCCTGATGACACCAAGGGCTGCGTTCCCGCGGGTCGAGGAGGCCTGAGAAACTCGCCTCAGCGAGGGTTCACGCGCCCCGGGGGCGCTGTGCCTGGTCGGGGAGGCCGTTCGTTACCACAGGGACCCCAGCAAGTGGGCCAGGAGCCAGGAGCTGGCCGGTGCCCGGCCGGCTCGGCCCAGAACCGGCCTGGGAGTGTCGGAGTGAGTGCCCAGCCCTGGCAGGGCCCCTGCCCCAGGCTGCGAGCTGAGCTGAGCTGACCGTGGCCTCCTGAACAGGGATTGGGGAGCAGAGCCTGGGTCCCCCCCGGACCAGCCGGGAGCCCTGTTTGCTGTCCTGGAACTGCACCCCGCCCCTAGGGCTCATGGGTCTGTGGGGCCTCAGGGCTGCATTTGTCACAGCCGCACCAGGCCTCGGGCACCGGGAGCCTCGGCCCTGCCTGGTTCAAAGTCTGGGGGCACATGGCCCTCCCTCCGGCTGGGGTGGGGTGACAGCCTCTCGGCCTGGGCTCTGGGGCGCTGGTTCTCTCCCCGCCCTCGCTGGGCAGGGCTCCGGGGCGAGTGGGGCCGCCTCTGAGCGCCGGGCTGCCGTCTGCTCACTGCTCCTCTCCCCTCACCCCAGCCCGCGGTCTCCTGCCCTCACTGCCCTTTGTGTGGGAGGGAGCGGAGAGCACCGGGGCTGGCAGGCACACCCAGGCGGGCACGCCCAGGCGAGGGCAGGAGGCCTTCCCCGCGACGAGATTACAGCGCTGGCTGGAACATGCCGGCATCTGCCAGGCTCCGCTTACACGCGTCACGTCCTCGGAGAAGCCGCAGCCCCCGGGCGGCCGGGAGGACACTGCCCCTTCCCCAGCAGGGCTGCCAGTGGCCACACGTGCCCAGGGGCTGCACCGGATCAGCGCAGCCCCTTCCTAGGGGTCAGCAGCCCCTGGACAGTGCACAGCGAGGCTACGGGGCATGACCGAGTTAGTTGTGCCCACGTGGGGATGGAAACCAGTGCCTCCTTCCCCCCGGGCCCTGGGAGCCCACCCACCGGCTTAGCAGCGTGACGTGTCGCCCCAGCCTGCGCTGACCCCGGGGGAGAGGACGCCTACCCTGAGGACCAGGGTCTGCCACAGTAGCCTGAGCTAAGACGTGCAGGCCACTCCTTGGGCGCACAGGGTGACCATTCGCGGGATTGCACACTCACGGGGCCGTCTCGGGGGTGCTGAGTGAGAACCCCAAAAGGCAATCCGCACCCCCTCACACGAGCCCCAGGGACAGCTGTGTTGAGCTGCAGCCCCGATGGGGGAGTCGGCCAGAAGGGGGGCTCTCACGGCGCGGGAGGGCCTGTGGGGCTGGAATGTTCTGTGCTGGTGGGTGTGCAGACCTGTGCAGAATTGCAGTCGTGTGTGCACACGCAGGCGGGCACACGTACCAGGTGGGGGCTCGCCTGTCCCAGCTCTCGGCGTCCATGTCCTGGTGCCATGGTGTCCTGCTGGGGAAGTTGTGGGAGGCCCCACCCGGTATGGACTCACCTGCCCAGAACACGGACAGAGCAGCGGGCAGCAGCCCCCCGGGAGGCAGCTTGGACCAGACGTGGCCCCGGGGCCAGCCTGCACCAGCCTCTGCCCCGAGCTGCCAGGCCCACCCCAAGGGAGGGACGTGGCTGGCTCAGCGGAGCTCGGCTGTCAGGCCCGAAGCCCGGAGCTGGAGTCCACACACTGGACGCGGTACCTGTGGCCTCGGGGCAGGGAGGGGCACGGGGCCTCCAGGCTCTGGCTCAGTGCCCTCTCTCCCCCTCCTGCGTGCCACCTCCCCACCCTCTGCTGGGAACAGCAGATCGGAGGGAATGGGACCTCCCCGTGGGCCCTGTGCCCAGGGATCACAGTCGGCACGGGACTTGCAGGGGCGGCCATGGAGTCAGCACTGGGCCCCCGCATGGCCCCTGTGTCCTGCGTCCACGCCCGCCCGCAGAAGCCAGACCAAGGGCACCTGGAGGGAGCCAGTCCCAGAAGCCCCCTCAGGTGTGTCTGTGACCGCTGTGGGGGGAAAGAGTGGGCGCCCACGCTGGGCCCCCTGCCCCCCACGCTGACACGCCTGCTCCACCCCACCTTGGGCCCAGCTGTGCTCCCGCCAGGGAGCCCCTCGAGGCCCCCTCGCTCCTGAGCGCGTGGAAGTAGACAGGTGGAAAGGCAGGCAGGGGCTAGAGAGGCTGTGCCGGCCACTCCAGCGGGCCCGGCCAGCCCTGAGGTCACCTGTTACAGCACAGGGCCATTGTTGGGCAGAGCGCGCCCGGCCACCAGGGCGCGGTGGCCCCCAGCACCGGCCTCTCAGGCGGCCAGGAGGTGCGGCCGCGGTGGGCTCTGCATAGCCGCCCTGGGCTCCGAGGCTCTGGCTGGGCGGACAGCTGGGCCCGAGCGGTCCCCCCCAGGGGAGGGCAGGAGGGGGGTCTTTTCACGCAGCCGCTTGTTCCGCGGCTCCGGTGCGGCCTGGACGCTCTCCCCTCAGTTAAAGTCTTTCAGGCTCTTCCTTTTCTTAACAGGAGAAGCGATGGCGCAGGCGAGACCACCGCTGCAGCTGAGCGTGGCGCTCCTGAGGCCCGGGCTGTGGGCGACGCTCTCCCGGGGCTCAGGTAAGAGGGGGCCGGGCCGGGGCTGGGGGGCGCTGGGCCCGGGCGTCTCGTGAGGGAGGCAGTGCTCTCGTCTCCGCACTCCCCTCGCCCCCTGCCGTCAAGGAGCCCGTCCCCCGGCGGGGCTGAGCCTGGTCGCTCGGGCCCTCTCCGTGCTGCCAGGGAGCACAGGGTCCCCCGGGTGTGGGGAGCAGGGCTGGGCCCCAGCGTCGCCCCGGCAGAGCTTGGGGAGCTGGTCCTCATTCCTGCTGAGGTGTCCAGACGCCGGCCCAGCGAGCGCCCCGGGGGACTCCTGCTCGCACATTTGAAATCTCCCCAGCGAGACAAGCCAGGCAGCACCTCGGAAAGTGGGGGCCCCGGGGACACTAAGGCCTCAGTGGGCAGGGACTGCAGTGTCCCGGGCCGTGCTCCCCGCTGCCCCCCTCCCCACCTGTGGGCGCCGGCCAGGCCGAGGACGCTGCTTGGCGGGTACGGCAGGAGCTGCAGGCCGGGCCCAGGACGTCAGGGCCCCGAGAGGGCACCTGTGCCCACCTGGCCTTGGTGGGAGCCAAACACACCCCAACACCGGCGCCATCGGGGTGGGAGTGCTGGCAACTGTTGGAAAACACCAGAAGCACACCTGGCGCCTAGTGGGCGCCCAGGTTAATCCACACAGGACAGTTTCCAGGGTAACAGCAGGGCACGGTGAGCGCCATCTCGGGCCGCTGGGCCGGACGCGTGGGCAGGCTTGCGAACGGGGCCACCCGGGACACGCGTGTCGCAGCCGCGGGGGCCGGTCGCAGCCGCTCGGCTCTGCCTGCCAGTGAGAAAACAGCCACAGACGACATGCACGCAGGCATGCACACGCAGGTGTCGCTGCGGTGACGTCACCAGGGTGTGGGCCCACAGGTGCCTCAGAAGAGGCACCTGTGAGCCCATGGCCTGGGCCGGAGCCCTCCTGGGGCCGTGCAGCTCACGACTGGCCAGCAGGGGGCACCCGGGCCACGCCAGGAATCAGGCGCTTGGCAGGAAGCGGCTCCTGCAAAATCCAGCCTGGGGGTGGAGTGTGTGTGTGTGTGTTTTGTGTGTGTGTGTGTGTGTGTGTGTGTGTGTCCCCTGGCGTGTGTGTGTCCTGGCGTGTGTGTCCCCTAGCATGTGTGTGTGTCTTGGCGTGTGTGTGTCCTGGCGTGTGTGTGTCCTGGCATGTGTGTGTGTCCTGGCGTGTGTGTGTGTCCTGGCGTGTGTGTGTGTCCTGGCATGTGTGTGTGTGTCCTGGTGTGTGTGTGTGTCCTGGCATGTGTGTGTGTGTCCTGGCGTGTGTGTGTGTGTCCTGGCATGTGTGTGTGTCCTGATATGTGTGTGTGTCCTGGTGTGTGTGTGTCCTGGCGTGTGTGTGTGTCCTGGCATGTGTGTGTGTGTGTCCTGGCATGTGTGTGTATCCTGGCATGTGTGTGTCCTAGCGTGTGTGTGTGTCTTGGCGTGTGTGTGTCCTGGCATGTGTGTGTCCTGGCATGTGTGTGTCCTGGTGTGTGTGTGTCCTGGTGTGTGTGTGTCCTGGCGTGTGTGTGTGTCCTGGCGTGTGTGTGTATCCTGGCGTGTGTGTGTGTGTCCTGGCGTGTGTGTGTGTCCTGGCGTGTGTGTGTGTGTCCTGGCGTGTGTGTGTGTGTGTGTGTGTGTGTGTTCAGGGCTCCGGCTGTGCGCCGTGCTGGGGGCGGGGGGCAGGGTGGGAAGGCCTGCGCCTGGAGCTTTCTCCGACATCCCAACACCAACTCCTTGGAAACTTCTGCATGTCGACACGTACGCCTTGTGCAAATGAATACTGAATTGTAAGCAGGTGATTGTGCCGTCCTGGGCACTAGACCAGGCAGCCTGCGTCCTAGGAGACAGTGGCTGTCCCTTCAGGCCACGTTATTTAAATACCGGACGGACTAGCTTAGGGGAGAGGTGGGGCTGGCCACCCCAATTCAGCTCTGGCACCAACCTGCACCCTTAGCAAGTCCGTCAAGTCCTGCAGCTGCAGGCGGCGTCCTCCTGGGGGGGAGAGTGGGCCAGCCAGCCGCTTGCAAACACATCACTTGGCTCGAATCAGCAGCCATGTGGTGGGTGTGGAATACTATACAGCGGGGAAAATGAGCCATGGCCACGTGTGTCAACGCCGGGCAGTTGCCAAAGACTGAGCAAAACAGGAATCCACCAAAACATGCCCAGGACCCTTACTCCATCCCCACAACCGAGCGCGGGCAGAACCCAGCCTCCCCTTATTTAGGGGCGGAGCCAGGTGTGTGAGGGAGAGCAATCGTTAACATCAAGGAAAGGGCGGTGGCCAGCTCTGGGGGGACAGGAGGCCCCTGGGGGCGCACAGAGGCTTAGGTGACACTAGAGGCTTTGCGGGTGGTGGGCTACACAATGACTTCTTAGAACAAGCAGTCGCCCTATAAGGAGCACCAGCTTGCGTGCCGTGGCGTCATGGCAAGGCACCCCAGAGGAAGGGAAATTGGTCTCCCCCCATTTGTGTCTCAGGCGCCGCACTTGGCAGCCGGGGCGGGGGAAGCAGACCTGGAGAGGCCACCTCTGGCCACCAGGACTTGCGGCATAACTTTCTAGAAATGCTACGGGGACAAAGAACGGCCCCTCCCATGGACATCAGGCTCCGCGGAGAAGCAGTGGCAGGACCGCCAGCGCCAGCAGCCTTGGCCAGGAGGTGTCGGGGCCAGAACAGAGCGAAGGAGCCCCAACCCCCCACCTGGAGGGGCTCCTGGCCTATCGGGGCGACCGGGCACGTGGAAGTTGGGGGGAGGGTGTGGAAAGAGCTGCGTTGTGGGGCCCTCAAGGTGACCGATGCCTCTGGTCAGCAACTTGGCCAACCGTTTGTGGAGCATTTAAATGCTTGGCCTCGGGCCTCCCCGGTGGCGCAGCGGTTGAGCGCTGGGTTGCGAAGCTGCCCGCAGCCTCTGCAGCACCAGTTCGTTCTCCGGCCATCGGGCGAGGGTCCCGCATGGCGCGCAGACCTCTCCTGCCGCCCGCTGCTCCCCTCAGCAGTGTCCTTCGGTCCTTCTGCCTGCTCTGCTCCCCGCTCTGGCTCTGGTGAATCCTCTCACCCTCCGCGCTTCTGACTGTGCCCAGTGCTTGTACAAATAAATACATAAACAAATCTAAAAAAATAAAAAATAAAAAATAAATGCTTGGCCTCAACGAGCCGTCCTGGGGGTGCACCGTGGGGAGCCGTCCTGGGGGTGCACCCCACGCTTGGACACACAGTCACACCACGGCGACTCACAAAACCAGGACGGGGTCGGGGGGTTGTCAGCAGCTCTGTCCCCACCTGGCAGCGAGCCACAGGCTCCTGGTGTCGGGGAGAGGCCGGCCCGGGGCCAGGTCCACGCGGGCAGCATGACCATGAGGTCATCTCCCCGCAGCCCTCCCTGCGGCCGTGAACACGCCCCTGATCTGTGACTACGGCTCGGGCTTCAGCAAGGTGGGCTTCGCGGGCATGGAAGCGCCGCTGGTCATGTTCCCCACCGTCCTCGGGAAGCTCCGGCACAACGTGAGTGGCCAGCGCCCTCCCAGCTCCTCCTCCCAGAGGCGGCCGCCGCGGGTCCCACAGGGCCCCCCACCTCCCCCGCAGGGTGGGCCCCCCAGAGCCTTAGAGCTGCCGGCCAGGTGGGCGAGCATCCGAGTGCGGGGCGCCGGCTGTGCAAAATGCAGAGGCCCAGGCCCACCCCCAGGACTCCTGCTTCGGCAGGTCTGGGAGGCGCCAGGGCTTGTGCTTCTGGCCACTTCCCAGGTGAAGTGGGTGCTGCTGGCCTGGCCGCCCCTGGGCTGTGCTTAGGCTGTGGCACGAGGCACAGCGCACGGGGGAGGGTGCGCACGGAGCGGGCGTCATTTCTCAAACCACGTGCACCAGACACAGCCCCTGGCAGGAAGGCTCCGGGACGGGTGGGGACTGCGGCGTGTGCCCAGCCTGGCAGGGTCTGCTGCCGCTGCTCTGGGCGAACGTGGCCCTGTGTGGCCGGGTCTTCCTGCTTTCGTGGAGAATTTAGAAAATCAGATGTTTTTAATTTTTGTAAGTCGCACAAAGTCTCCCATCGTAACCACTTCCAAGTGCAGGTGCTGCCGCAAAGCAGCCGTCGCCCCCGCACCTGCAGAACCTTCTCACCTCCCCAGCCTGGAACTCGGTCCCCCGAAACACTCACTCCCGCCCCCCGTCCAGGCCCACGGCTCCCCCTCTCCTCTCAGTGTAGGAATTTGGCAGAATTCACAGAGTGTGGCGCTCTCGGTGCTGACCCAAGTGGGACCCCACGGCACTTGTCCTGGGCTTCGGGCTCAGTCACGGGGGCCGGGTCCCCGGGTCCCTCCACGTTGGAGCAGGTGCTGGAGTGTCCTTCCTCTTCAGCTGAATAACCTCCCACGCGTGGGTGGGCGGCCTTGTGTATCCGTCACCCGTCCGAGCAAGGGGCTCTTCCGCACTGCAGCGCTTGTGGACAGCATCTAAGGGAGTGGGGGTGGAGCAGTAGCCGTCGGGGGCGCCCACTGTCCAGAAGAGGGGTGGCTGGATAAGGGGCAATCAGTGCTTAAGAAATTCCCACGTTTGCATCAAATTTTGAGACGTCACCTCAAGACCCGTGCCGCCCAGACAGAAGAGAGCTTCAGGCCAGGTGCCCAGCGCTGCCCCGGGTGGGGGCTCGCTGCACCTCGACCCTCAGACCTGCGTGTCCTTGGCAAGAGGCCCTCCTCTGCCTGCCGTCCCTGCCGAGCAGCGGCGTGGGCTGCTCTCTGGGCTCCAGCCGTGCTCCCTGTGCTCCACCTCCAAACTCCCGGGCTGTGCCCACCTCCCGCTCGTCCTCCGCGCTCGGCTGACGGGCACGGCCCCGTGTTGTGACCATGTCAGACGTCACGCTGCCCACGCGGGCGCTGGGCCCTGGGACAGGCAGAGAAGCCGGCCCCCCGCCCAGGGAACCCAGCAGCAGGCGAGCCTGGAAGCAGGTCGCAGGCGCAGGATCACGGCAGGACAGCGTCCTCGCCGGAATAGACGCGGTGACCAGGACGGACGGAGAGGACGGCGGCCCCCAGCACCACCACTAGGTCTCCCCTCCTCCCCCGGGCTTCGCCCGCTCAGGGCTCGTGTCTGCTCCCACATCCGCGCTCGGGACCCCTCCCGCCCCACTTGAGTGTTGCCGCCAAGAGGGCAGTGAGGGGACCCGCGGCCCCGGGGAGGCAGGACCAAGGCCACCCAAGGCCCCCGAGTCCTGGCACCCCCGGAGCCTGCACAGCTGTGGCGTGGCCCGAGCACCCTCGCTCCCCATCTCAGGCCGCAGCTCTAACCTGCTCCTCCCGGTCCTTGCGCCTCCCTCCACCGCCCCCCGCCGCCCACTTAGGTTGGGGCCAGCTGACCAGTGGGGGACCCTGAGGCTCGTGTGGGTCTGTCCTTTCAGTTTACCAGGCACGGCCCCCGCCTCTGTGCCCTGAAGGCCCAGATCCTTCCCGTCTGCTTTCTGGGCACATGCAGTGGCCAGTGTGCCCACGTGTGGCTCCGGGCCTCCTCCTGCCCGGCTTCTGCACGCGCAAGGCCAGGAGGAGCTCTGCTGGGGCCTGGGTGCGGGTTGCAGGCCCTGCCGAGACCTCTCTGCACCCTCGGGAGGGTTCCCGGCCCCTCCCGCCCCCGGCCCTGCCACTGCCCGTGACTGAGCAGGGGGCTCAGGCCGGAGCTGACCGGGGCCGGCCGTCCCCAGCGCCTGTTGGTGGGACTGGAGGATCAGGACTGGCTCATCGGCACGGAGGCCATGGACAAGCTCGGGCAGCTCAACCTGCAGTGGCCCATCGCCCGGGGCGCTGTCACCAACTGGGACAACATGGAAAAGGTGGGTGCCGCGTCAGCCACAGGGCACCCCCTGCGCCCCAAGGAGGGCTCCACAGCAGGCTGGTGGGGTCCTCCCCGGATGCCCGAGGACAGGCCCTGACCGCGGGGCCCTGAGGAGAGCCCGCTGGGATCCTGGCTCTGCTGCCGTGGCCGCCAGCGTTTGGACGAGACTCCGCCGCTCCAGCCTGTTTCCTCACCGGGACGGAGGGGCCTGATTTTCCTATGTCAGAGCCACAGGGCATGATGGAGAAAGGCCCTTGATCTTCCTCAGCCGGTGGAGCCAGGCGACAGTCAGCAGACGCCAGATAGCAAGTGCTAGCCGTGGAGGGCCGCAGCTGGGCCCGGGGCACGCCAGCCCGACTCCCGGCCGGGGCCTGGGGCTCCCAGAGCCTGAACCCAATGGCCTCCGCAGGTGCCAGGCCAGGCTAGCCCAGGGTGTGGCTGCAGGCGCCACCCACCCTCCGTGCCCGGCTCACCTGCTGGCTCTCCCAGGTGTGGCACCACGGCTTCTACCAGGCGCTCCGCGTCGCCCCGGAGCAGCACCCCCTGATGATGACGGAGCCGCCCCTGAGCACGATGTCTGACAAAGAGAAGGTATCCCAGGTGAGAGCAGGGCCGGGGTGGCCTGCGGGGCCGGGCCCCCCCCCCAGGTGGGCCCCCTCCCAGCCGGGCCGTCTCGCCTTCTCTGCTCGGCGAGATTAGGGCCCGAGCGCTGTCCCTCTACTCTTACCACAAGGCCACCCAGCCTGAGAGTCCACGGCCTTGCGGCCAGTCTAGGGGCTGGGGTGGTCAAGCCTCTGCAGAGAAAGAAATCGGGGCGTCCAGAGCTCCAGCAATTGGCTCAGGCCACAGAGCGACCAGCCTGTCTGCTCGCCGCCCTGTTCTCCTAAGGACTGCGTGGCGCCCGCCCCGGCCTGGAGCCCCCGCCTCGCCCTCTGAGCCCCTGCCCGCCCCCGCCTGCCCGGGAGGAGCAGAGGGTGCTCGCGCAGCTGCCAGGTTGCAGTGGATCGAACCAGACGGGGATCCCGGCCAGGGCGCCTACGGCCAGAGAGGAGGTTCCCTGCCCGGTCCAGACGCAGAGCCCTCCTTGCGGCTGGAGTGGGGACTGGCTCGGCCGTCACAGAGGCAGGGGTCCTGGGTCTGCGGGGTGGGCGGCTGGGGCCGGAGAGCGCGGCTGCGCGTCCCGAGGCCGGAGCAGCTCCTTGTTCGGGGCAAGGCGCAGGCTTTCGGTGGTGTCCAGACCTTCCCTGGTGGGCCAGGCCTGCCCCATCCCAGGGACGACGGGAGCTGCTCGTGCCGGGAGGCGCCTGCCCCTGGGCTCCCGCCCTGGGCCAGTCAGGGCTTGGGGCTCCCCGGCCTCGGTGTCCTCATCTGTCCCTGGAGTTGACCGCAGGACCCCTGAGGGCCTTCCCAGCTACCCGGCCTCTGGCCTCGCATCCCCCACTGGCCACCCACCAGCTGCCCCACAGCTCCAATTGGCTGGCACCCCGTCCCCCTCGGCCCCCGGGCCCCACCCAGGATGGACCTACAAGAGTGTGCTCGTGGGGAGAAGGCGAGGCCCGCAGAGGTGCTGCATGCTGCGCCCCCTCCCCCGGGCGGGGATGGCGGCTAAACAGCCAGGAGCTGTCGCGTCCGGCTGGCGATGGGTCCCTGGGAGGGCGGGAGCAGGACGGCCCCGCCGGTCGGGGGGGAGCCGGGGTGAGCGGTGCTGCCGCCCGCCCCGCGTCGGGCTCTCAGGCGGGGTGGCCAATGCCCGGCCAGCTGGGACCACCCCCCCCCCAGTGGCCGCCCGCAGCCCACGCCACCCTGATGCTGCCCCCGCAGATCCTGTTCGAGACCTTCAAAGTGCCCGCCCTGTTCTTAGGCAACCACGGGGTCCTCTCCCTGTTCTCCTCCGGCCAAACCTCCGGTGAGTGCCCCGGCTCTGCCTCCCAGCCCAGCTGCTCCCAGTCCCTGGGCTGCGCCCCCTGCCGAGTAACGAGAGGGGGAACCCTGGGAACCCCACCCGCCGTCCCCGGGGCTGGCCACGGCCCCGCTGGGCTTCCTTGGCTTACACAGCTCCGCGGGGCGCGGGGCGCGGCGGGAAGGCGCTTCGCTGGCTGCGCGCGGGCCCTTCTGACCAGCCTGGGAGCGAGGCGGTGCTGGGGCCGGCGCCCGGCCTCCTCGCAACGTCTGAGCCGTGGCACAGTCTCCGCGCGGATTCTGGAATCAGCCTGTCGGGTCCTGCTGAGAAAGCCCCGCTGGGATGGCCGCGCGGCGGCCGGGAGGGGCGTCGCCTGCCCCCAGCTGACAAGCGCGCCCGGGTCACCCCTGGCTTCCCTGAGCAGCTCCCCGTGGCTTCCGGGCGTAAGTGGCGCGTCCACCGTCAGCCTCAGCGGCGAAGGCTTCCTACGTGGTGACGCCGGGGTGCGTGGGTCCAGTCGGGTTCTGGTTGTCACCCGCGGAAGGACAAACGGCCTTTCTGTGTCGCTGTGTCCTCGCGCCTCGGGCCGGCAGCGGCTGCGCAGCTTCCCCGGATGCCTCCGTGGGCCCCGTGTTGTCTGGGAGCGGGTGGTTTTCTTGCTTCTTTCCACCCAAGATGTTTTTCGTCGCTTTTCCTGGCCTGGCTGCTCTGGCTGGGGCCTTCCGGCCGCGCTCGGCCTGCCCGGCCTGGGAGCCGCCCTCCCCCTCCGCCAAGCGCGGGCCGCGGGCTGCTGGGGCCCCTTCCTCGGCCGCGGCGTCCTCTTGCTGGGGTTTGCTGGGAGATTCGAAGTCAGGCTCTGGGGTTTTCTCCACCTGTTGACGCGGCCGCGTAGATGTTGCCTCTTGGTTCTGAGACCCTGAGTCTCGCTGACTGGACAACCTTGCGTTCTGAGCCGGAGCCGCTTTCCACACACCGTTGGCGCGGGCTGCTCGGGGTCTGGCCTCTGCCGCGCGGGCGGTGGCCTCCGTGTGTCTGTCCCGAGGCCCGTGGCTCCGGGACCACCTCCTTTGTCGCTCATGTCCACATCTTGCAAACCGCCCTTCCTGGTGTCCGTCCTCTGCAGTTACTCGAGCTGGAGGGTCCCCTCCTTGCCCCCGTCCAAGCTGGGCGTGGGGGTCGTGCCGGCTGTTCATTCACCCTCGAGCTTTCGGTTGCCAAACTCAGCAGGTGACAGACGCCGCCTCCCAGGGCCCACTCGACTCTGGGAAGCCCCTGTGCCCCCATTTCCTACGAAGTGAGGCCAGGCACCCCTTCCCCGCGGCCCGCATCACCCAGGGTCGGCGGCGTCCTCACTCTCTGGCCCCCACTGACGCGGCCCCCACGTCTGAGGGCCTCCTGGGACTCCTGCCCGCCTGGACGCAGATGGTTCTGGGGAAGAAGGGGGAGCCATGGTCACCTCCTTCCGCTTTTACCTCTCCTTGGCAGCTGCTCTGACCCTGTGCCTGGCGCAAGAGAAAATCCTCAGGCCCCTGAGGCCCTCAAGCCCTCAGGCCCTCAGCGCCTGGGTCTGACCAGACAGCTCTGCCCAGGGAGCCCCCGGGGAAGGGCTCGCTCAGAAGACCCGGTGCCTTCCCTTCCCGTTCCGTCCCCACCGCCTCCTGGTCCCGCAGACCCGACGACCGTGGCGCGGCCGCCGCCCTGCGACACTCGCCGGCGTGCTCTCGTGTCTAGGGACCGCCATTGAGTCTGGGGAAGGGATGACGTACATCGTGCCCATCATCGAGGGCTGTCCTCTGCCTCAGTCGACCATGAAGCTGGACGTAGCCGGCCAGGACCTGACCTTGTACTTCCTGCAGCTGTTGACAGACAGTGGGAACTTGTTGGTGAGCTCAGGTAGGCGTCGCTGCCCTTGGCCTGGTCAGCCAGTCCCTGGGGAGTGACATCCTTCTAGCCTCGCGTCACCTCCAGCCCTCGGTGTGTAAAGCTAAGGCTACCTGCCCCCCCCCAAGTTCTAAGACATTGCGCCCTGACTCAGGGACAGCTAGTGGACAGGTGACGGCAACGATGCCGATGGAGGTGGTGACAATGTGATAGGCCACACTTGCAAAGTCCCCGCCCAGAGCAAGTTGCTGGGGTAGGGGGAACATCTCACCCACACTGCACCCCCACGCGGTGGACGAATTATCTCCGTCACGAGAGGGAGAGACGTAGGAAGGTCGGCGACATCAACAGCCTATGAGTGGTGGGTGTGTCCGAACAGAGGGACAGACTATGGGGCCCCCACTCCGAACACAGAGCTGGGTCTAAAGTCTGTTGTCAGCGAGGGGAGGGGACACGCTTCCAGATCCTTCCCAGGTGGGGGCTCTGCTGTGGGCTGATGGTGGCCAGCGACCCAGCAGGCGGGGTGGGGCACCAGTGGCACCTCCTATTTTAATAGATAGTAAAACTGAGTTTGATTTCCTAGCCCCCCACAAAATGTACACCTTATCTAGTGGGGTGTCAGCCTACAAAATGCAGGCTTTTTCAAACATTTAGTTTAGGAGGTCCTTTTCCTGGCTTTCCACAAACCCGGGTCACGCCCACTCCGCGTCAGAGGGGCTGGACTGGCAGGAGCTGGGAACAGCCAAGGGCACTGCCCGCCACAGGAGCTCGAGCCACGGGCACTGCCCGCCACAGGAGCTCGAGCCACGGGCACTGCCCGCCACAGGAGCTCGAGCCACGGGCACTGCCCGCCACAGGAGCTCGAGCCACGGGCACAGCCCGCCACAGGAGCTCGAGCCATGGAGACAGGCGCCTGGGAAGTGCAGGTTTCTGTGGGCTCAGCGCCGGCCCGCCTGTCCTTGACCTCTCCCCCCAGCTGACCGGGAGTGGGCTCGCTACGTGAAGGAGAAATGCTGCTACGTGGCTTTGGACTTCGCGCAGGAGAAGGTGGCGCCCACCTCGCCCGTCCGCACGGAGAAATTCCGGCTGCCCGATGGCCAGGAGCTCACACTCGGCCGGGAGAGGTTCTCGTGCCCGGAGGCGCTCTTCCAGACAGACCTCATAGGTGAGCCGGGGCGGCGGGGGGCGGCGAGACCCCAGGCGCGTCCGCCACAGGGACAGGGCTGTTTGCGCCGAGGGGTTCTGCTTTGAGCAGCAGAAAGCAGGAGTGGCCCCCATTTCATCCCACCCCCATAGCCGCATGGAGCACTGGCCTCTGCCCGTCGCCTGCTGGCCGTTGTCCGTGGGCTCTGCCCTCTCATCCTCCTCCCAAACCAGGGCGCCCCGTGTCACGGGCGGGACCCGGGGAGCGTCTGTCAGAGGCGGTCAGGACCCCGCCGACCACGGGGCTTCTCGTCACTGCACACTCCTCACCCCGCTGTTCACAAGATGACCCGAAGTGCACAAATAGGGGCGACTTCCCCCCGGCCCCCAGGGGGCAGGCAGAGCCGGGTGCACCGCCGCCCAAGCCCTGGCTCCAGGCCTTTTCCCCACCGCAGGGAGAAACAGCCTGGGCGTCCACGCGCTGGCCTTCCAGAGCATCAGCTCCTGCAGCCCCGCCCTCTGGAAGGTCCTCTTCGGCCACGTCATGCTGTGCGGGGGCACGGGCTCCTGTGCCGGCCTGCGGCTCCGGATGCAGAAGGAGATCTCCGCCCTGGTGACCCCCACAATTCAAGTGAAGGTGCGTCCTCCCCCTCCCACCCCCCGGGGACCTCCCGAGTTCACCCCCAGACACTTCTGGAAGCAGAGACGTGCTGGCATGGCCAGGCCTTTGGGGTAACATCAAACCACAAGTGCTCAGGAGCCCCAGCTCTGACCTTGGGGGTGGGGAGCCCCCAATGCAGGCAGCGCCGGGGCCAAGACAGGAGACGAGAGGGACTGTCATCTACGGGGCAGGGCAGCGGGGCAGGGGCCGGCCCTCGGGAAGGTGGCCTGGTGTAGATGGTTGCAGGTGGGGGGCAGGAACCAGGTGAAGGGGGGTGCCGGGGCTCAGAGCGGGCGGCAGAGGTGGCAGGACCCCAGGATTTGCAGAGACAAGCCAGGTCGCCGAGAGCAGGGAGCCAAGGTGCAGGCCTGAACAATGGGAGACAGAGAGTGTCCCGAGGTGGGGTGACGCCTGAGGCGCTGGGAGGGATGTGGCGCCTGAGTCTGGGGTGTTCGGGGACACACAGAGAGCCCGGTGTTGGGATCGGGGCTCCAGGCCCCCACCTGGGAGTTCAGGGCAGCGGCTTGGGAGGAGGGAAGGGAAGGAGACGGAGGCCGACGTGCAGCCACGGGCGGGGTGGGGGTCCAGCAGGAGGTGCTGGGAGGGGCGCGGGGCTGGGGGCACTAAGCACTGTGGGTCATCCTGGCCTTGCCAACCCGGGGGAGCCTTTAAGGGGAGAAGAAATTGCATTTGACTTGCCAGTGTGGGGGCAGACATGGCGGCCCATGAAGTTTGCTCGGGGACTGATGCCGTGTCCCCAGTTTCGAGCCGCATTGTGATTCTGGTCCCCCTCCAGGTCGCTACCTGCCCCAAGCCCAAGCACAGCGCCTGGGTGGGCGGCTCCATCCTGTGCTCCCTCTCCACCTTCAAGGACATGTGGGTCACCATGGCAGAGTACACAGAAGTGGGGTCCTCCATCATGAGCAGGCGGAGCTTCTGATCAAACTGGGGACCCCTGGACCTGCCGCCTGCCCCCGACACCACCCGTGGGCGCTCGGGCCCTGCTCAAGCACACGCCTTCCCCACATGGCAATAAAAGACACGCTCTGGACAAGGCGGACAGCGTCCGCGGCACCGCCTCTCGCCCACCTGCCCAGGCGGTCAGGATGCCCAGCTCTGGCAGCCGTGAGCATTGCTCAGTCCCAGTGAAACTGGGGACCTGTCCCCACCTTGGGGCTCCAGCGCCGGCCCTGCTCGTGGGCAGGGTCAGCAGCAGGGGAAGGGGGCACTTCACCGCCGGCCACCAGTGGCCCTATGGGGGCTCAGGTGGCAGTAGAGGCCGGCGGTGATGGTGGACGATGGGGTTCCCCTGCCACGCACCCCAGGGCCACAGTCCCTGGCCCAGGGCTGCAGGGAAGAGCGTGGGGCCCGCTGGGCCAGCTCCAGGCCGTGGCTCCTGCAGCTGTGGTCAGTGGAGAGCCCAGGTTTGGTGCCTGGAGCGTGGAGTGGACCATCAGGTGCGGCCGTGAGCTGGCTGGTGCTGGCCCAATCAGCCACAGGGTTGAAATCAGCCCAATCAGGCTTGCAGGGGGAGGGGGGCTGAGAGAGGAGAGAAGGCAGGAGCCAGCTGGGGGCACACGCGCTCACAGACGCTCCGGCTCTTGGCTCCCGGCCTCAGAAGACTCTCGAGCTCTCTGACCCTGCTTGGGAAGGGCCCTGCTCCTGGCTCCGGAGGCAGAAAGGAGAAGCGTCCAGGAGCCGACCTCTGAGGGGAGAGGCCGGGACCGCCCCTGCCCCCAGCCGCTGCTAACACCGCCTGGAGGGGCTCCGAGGCCAGGGCTGGGGTCCGGACCTGCCTGTGGTCGGTGTGGGCCACTCGAGCCGTGACGCTGCCGACTGGCAGTGACCGGCACTGCTGGCCAGTGCTGCCCAGCACTGTGGACTGGTGCCCGGTGTCCAGCCGCCCCGAGAGCTGGCAGCACTCCTGATGGCCATGCCGGTGCCCTCCAGCTCCCTGAGCACCTGCAGCTGCGGTGACTCAGGCCTCGTTGGCGGGCGGCGCCATCTTGGTCGGGACTGTGGCGATGACGGCGCTCGGGCCTTAGAAACAGTTTCCCCGGTTTGTCCAGCCCCCGGTTGTCGCTCCCCGAGCCTGAGGGATCTCAGGGTCGTACAGGCAGGTGAGGACCCCGCAGGCAGTGCCCGCCCTGTCCCGGCTCTGGCCTGGGTGGCGGCACCCCCAGCACCCCCACGAGAGCCAGCCTTGCAGGCCTCGGTCATCCGCGCTTCTGGGCGGCTCTCTGGCCTGACAGCGTGTGTCCCTCCTCCAAGGAGAGACAGGAGCGTCGCCCCTCGGGCCGCTCACAGCACGCTGCTGTTGGCAGCCCCTCGCTCCCCCAAAGGCCCTTCTCGCCTTGGCACAGGGGACGTCTGGAAGGCAGGAGGCTGCGCCCGGCAGTTGGGCGGCTCCAGGCGCTGCAGCCGGCAGCAGAGGCCGGGGCTGGCCTCCCGGCACTGGTCATGGCCGCGTCCACGCTCGGCTGCTCAGCCTGTGGCGCTCTGAGTCCCGAAATCCACACACAGTCTGTGATTTTAAAATGCTGACCGCCAAGAGACGCCCACCTCCCCAAGCTGCGGGCTGTGCGTGACAAGCCTGCCGGCTGCACTGACCCAGCTTCTGTTTTTCACGGCCCATGTCTGCAGGCGACGCCGCGGCGGGTGTGGGTCGTGGACTGGGGCCTGTGCAGGCGTCCAGACAGCGGGCACCCGGCCCGTGAGTGCCCGGCCCGGTGAGTGCCCTGGGCTCTGCACCCGGCGCGTCGGGCCCGGTCACTGGGGGTGGCCAGAGGGAGAACGTGAGGTGGCCATGCACACGGGAGGGAGGTTGTAGCAGCAGGAAGGCCACAGGGCAGGATCTCTATGGCCCAAGCAGACGGGTGAAGGAGGAGTCCTGGAGCCCTCGGTGGCTTTGCAGGCTTTTATTGAGTTTACTGGGTACACAGTAGGCAGGGGGCCCGGGGGGCCGGGAGGCTGGCAGGCCCCACAGCCCCTGGCGAGTCCCCACTCTTTCTGGGCTCTCTGGCGTTCTCTCGTGGCCTTGCTTTCTCTCTTCTCGTCTCTTGCTCTGCTCTTCCTCTGGCGTCCCCGTGACGCTGCCCTTGTAAGCCCAGCCTTAGCCCAGTGTCCCCACTTACGCACGCCCACACCCCACTCCAGGGGCCGCCATCAGGTGTGTGTTCAGGACCACAGGATCCATCATCCATCCTAATGGCGGGAGGGCAGGAAAGCCGGATACTTCCCCTACAGAGGTGAAGGCAGAGAGGGATGAAAAAGTGAAAACAAAAGAAGCAGATGTCAGATGAGACCAAGCGGAACCTTCAAAGAGGAAGTTCATTTACAAGGGGGGCGGCGCAGCCAGCAAGGGCATAAGTCAAGAGGGAAGCATCCGGAGCAGTGTAGACAGGAAGCGGGAGAATCGGCGTAGACAAGTCTCAGTACCGTCACCAGCAGGGATCGCCGACTGAGGTTCATTTTGCCACAAATGCAGAAGCAAGGCCGAGACAGACGTCCACAGAGGGTGTTCAGCCTCCGGTCCTTGCCAGAGCAGGCTGCCAGCACCTCACACAGCAATTACTCTTCAAACTATGGGCAGGCCTCCCTGGTGGCGCAGGGGTTAAGACGCAACCTATGAAGCTGTCTGTGGCCTCTGCAGCACGAGTTCCCTCCCCAGCCGGCCAGGGAGCTACCCACAGGGCGCAGCAGACCTCTCCTGCCGCGCCCGCTGCTCCCCTCAGCAGTGGATTTCGGTCAGTCTGCCTGTTCTGCTCCCCGCTCTGTCTCTGGGGAATCCTCTCACCCCCGCGCCCCTGGCCTGCACCCAGCTCTTGCATGCATAAATAAATAGATCTTTTTAAAGAAGCAAACAAATAAACTATGGGCAGATAGAAAGCGAAACATTGAAATGAAAAAGTGTTACCAGAATTCGCACGTGTAACCCAGCCTGCGCCTGCCTGGGTCCTCCAAGGCCGTGTGATTGTCAGCGTTCAGCAAGTGATCCACATTAACGCCTCACAGTGAGTTTCTCCCGTTAAATACACAACAATTAGCGATCCTAACAGTCCATTATGACTTAATTGGCTGCTGAAATTTGCTTGTTAAAAGCCAATTGAGAGATGGTGATAAATACCTGTAAGCTCAGCCTCCCACCTTGTGACATTCCTGTTCCTGGAGCATCGGGCCTCCCCCTTGGGCCAAGGAAATCCACGCAGGGGTCGCTCAGCCCTCACACCCGTCGTCCCCGGAGGGCAGCTGGACGTCAGGTCTCAGGCCATGAGGCTCGTGCTGCGGCCGGGCGGCAGGCTCAGCCGGGGCCGCTGTCACCCCCGGGGCCTCCTGTCCCAGCTGTGATTTCAACGGCAGCCGGTCCCAGGTCACACAGGACGCCACTCCGCTCTGGACGCCGTTCCTGGGCCAGCCCCGCCTGTGTCTGCGTTTCAGTGCGGGCTGCTCAGGGAGAGCGAGGCGGGGTTAGAGGCCACCCGAGGCACGCCTCCTGTTCCTGATATTCATCCATCCATCCCTGCGTCGTTCCTCATCATCCATCCGTCGCTTACCCGGCCATCCATCCATGCCTTCGTCATCCGTCTCCCCGCCGGCCAACCATCCGCCCCTCGCCCACCAGCCATGGCTCCAGCCATCCGGCTGCCCAACCACGCATCCACCCCTTCTTCAACCCTGAGGTCACACTGCGTCAGCACAGGTGTGCCCTCAAACTACCTGCATTTAAATTCCGGGTCATCCTAAGTTTACCTGTGTGACCTTAAGTTACTAACTTTCTATGCAGCACCGTCTCCTCACCTGTAGAATGGAGGAAAATATTGCAGTGGCTTCAAATTCACCCCAGAGGAAGGACTTAGAGAAGTGTCTGAGAAAACTGGTTAGTGAACAGCTCAGTAAATGTTAGTTATCATCATTACTGTTACACGTTCACCCACACACACTGGAAGCCAGAGGCAATTCTTAAAAAAGGCCCAGAAGAGGCTCTGGAGTCCAGAAGCCCCGCAGGAGGGTTCCCGGAGCTGACTTCACCGGCGGGCCCTGGAACACGCGGGGTGGTTCACACACCAGCAGAAAGGGGAGTTTAACTTTGAAACCGGGTAATTAAGCGTTTTATGCTACTTTGAAACAAGGACAATGTGGTTTTAGTCATAGGTTTCATTTGTGTCGCTAAGGCTTGGTAATTTTTTTAAACAAAGCGTGACACCGTCTTCAGCTTGGTCCTGGGTAAGACGGCTGCTTTAACTTACTGAACGTGATTTTTTTTTTTTTTAAGGATTTTTTTTATTATTATTTATACAAGCACTGGGCACAGTCAGAAGCGCGGGAGGGTGAGAGGATTCACCAGAGCCAGAGCGGGGAGCAGAGCAGGCAGAAGGACCGAAGGACACTGCTGAGGGGAGCAGCGGGCGGCAGGAGAGGTCTGCGCGCCATGTGGGACCCTCCTCCGGGGCCGGGGAGCAGCCGGGGATGGAACCGTCGCCGCAGAGGCCGCGGGCAGCTCCGCAACCCAGCGCTCAACCGCTGCGCCACCGGGGAGGCCCCAATGAACGTGATTTTTAAATACCGAAGGCGATTGCTTGCTGGAGTTTGGGGAAACCCCCGCGAGCAGCTCACCCCGGCAGAGCCGAGGACGGCGAGGGACGGGGCTCAAGGTGGCCGCCGGCAACGCTTAGCAGCGCAGGGGGAAAGCAAAGGACGTCAAACCGCAATGAACCCAGGAGAGGCGCGGGCTGCGCCTGCAAAGTGGCGCCCGGGCTCCGGCGGAGCTCGCGCAGTGGCGGCCTCAGCAGGCGGGAGCCAGGAGAGACGTGGTCAACTTGGAGGCCCGCGCTGGGGCACGGGACAGAGCAACACAGAAAAGCAATGGGGGCCGGGGGAGCCCTTTGGGACAACTTGAACAACGTCATCTCAGGGAGGGGGGTCCCAGAAGAAGAGGAAGGTAAACGGAGAACGTTTATTCTAAGACAAAGCTGCCGGGAGTCAGCGCAGCGCGGAAGAGACCTGGACGCGCGGTGCAGGGGGCCAGAGAGCCGCAAGCAGAATGAGCCAG